TGGTTTAGTTCTGGAGGTCACAGTTGTTCAGATTTAATCCTCTGCTCCATCTGTGACGTGTATCTGCAGTACACAGTACACAGTACACAGTACACAGTGTGTACTCTGATGCAGTACAGGATTAGTATTAGTAGTACTATCACTTGCAGTAGTAGTATTAGTATTAGTAGTAACAATAATATCCGGCACTAATCTGTATAAAACCGAACCATCTGCAAACGGCTTTATACTGATCTTTTTGTTGCAGTCGTTATTGTAGTAGTAATTATAGTAGGTATTGTAGTAGAAGTAGTAGCAGTAGTAGTAGTAGTTGTAGTAGTAGTTGTAGTAGTAGTAGTAGTAGTAGTAGTAGTAGTAGTAGTAGTAGTAGTAGTAGTAGTGTAGTAGTAGTAGTAGTAGTAGCAGTAGTAGTAGCAGTAGTAGTAGTAGTTGTAGTAGTTGTTGTAGTAGTAGTAGTAGTAGTAGCAGTAGTAGTAGCAGTAGCAGTAGCAGTAGTAGTAGTAGTAGATGTAGTAGTAGTAGTAGTAGTAGTAGTTGTAATAGCAGTAGTAATAGTTGTAGTAGTAGTAGTAGTAGTAGTAGTAGTATTAGTTGTAGTAGTTTTTCTGTTATTCTGTTCATCATTGTAACCTAATTTCTCTCGATCCTGGTTTGGTCCCGGACTGGTCTTGGTTCCGGTCTCTGGTCCTGGTTCAGTTCCCGGACTCTGGACTCGGGGCTCTGAAGGGGGAGCTCTTGTTGTTCCGACACGACCCGACTTCAGAAAACCTGCTCCAGAAGATCTGCAGCGCCCAGCAAGTCCAGCAGGGGGACACGGTCGAGGTGGTTCTGTCCGGTAAGAGTCCGGTTCTGCTACGCCAAAGTTCGGTTACGCCAAAGTTCTGTTACGCCAAAGTTCTGTTACGCCAAAGTTCGGTTACGCCAAAGTTCTGTTACGCCAAAGTTCTGTTACGCCAAAGTTCAGCAGTGTTGGGAGTAACGCGTTATAAAAGTAACGAATTACAGTAATGCATTACTTTTTGCTGTAACGCAGTAATGTTCGGCATTACAGGGGAAAAAATAGTAATATTTTACTCGGTACAAATGTGAGTAACGCGCGTTACAGTGTTTTTTTAACCTGGATTGAAGTGGTGTTTTTTTCTTCATACAAATTCGCTAAAATCACCTCGATATCAGCAGCGGTGAAACGCCGGAGATGCGCCCTCATAGACCTTCAGGTAAAAAGGAAGGACTGACAAAGAACTCCACGCTGTTTAGACCTGGTTTAGACCTGGGTCAGTTTTGGTTTAGACCTGGTTTAGACCTGGGTCAGTTCTGGTTTAGACCTGGTTTACATTCGTCCCTCCCTCTATCGCAGTTCACTTTTCGCTGTCTCGCAGATTTTTATTTATTTTAATTTTTTTGTGTAATTTTGCATGCCCTGTTTTTTTTTACATTGTATGAATGTGTATTGTGTTCCTCCCGCTGCATCCTGACTGGCCAAGGGACTCCTGTCTCCTGTACAGTACAGAATGTGTTCAGCTGCCAAATTTAAATACATGTTCAGTCTGTATCAGTGTGATTCTGAAGTGCTGTACGGTTGCAAGTTTTCTCCCCGACAAAACCCACAACGTCAACGAAACGTTCTGCACCGACAAAGGCTCCTGCGCTCGCACCCAAAAGGCAGAGGAAGATGTAACCATCACAGAAAAAGTTGGACTTCTGGACACGCTGAAGGAAGGTAGAAGTTACGCGCTGTAACAGACTCTTGCACCGGCTCGGGTACCTGCAAATAGTTGCTGAAATCAGGGCCGCGAGCCCGAGCAGCAGGGTCCATAAAGAGCGATCGGGTGACAGCCGCTCTTACCTCCGTGAGGTGCGGAGCAGAGCTGCTCCTTTCTCCTGCGGTCACCCCCGAGCCCGTCCCCACAGTGAGTCCTGTTTTAGTCCAAGTTCAGTTCTAGTTTAGTCCTAGTTCACTTCTGGTTTAGTCCTGGTTCAGCTCTGGTTTAGTCCTGGTTTAGACCTGGTTCAGTCCTGGTTCAGTCCATATACAGCGCAAAAGTTATTTTGGTGAGAGTAACTTAAAGTAATGCAATAGTAATGTAATGCCTTACATTTTAAATGCAGTAATATTGTAATGTAACGAATTACTTTGAAATGACAGTAATAGGTAATAAATAACGCATTACAGTTTCAAAGTAACTTGCCCAACAGTGAAGTTCAGTTACGCCAAAGTTCGGTTACGCCAAAGTTCGGTTACGCCAAAGTTCGGTTACGCCAAAGTTCAGTTACGCCAAAGTTCTGTTTCGCCAAAGTTTGGTTACGCCAAAGTTCGGTTACGCCAAAGTTCAGTTACGCCAAAGTTCGGTTACGCCAAAGTTCAGTTACGCCAAAGTTCAGTTACGCCAAAGTTCGGTTACGCCAAAGTTCGGTTACGCCAAAGTTCGGTTACGCCAAAGTTCTGTTACGCCAAAGTTCAGTTACGCTCAGTTGAAAAACGCTCCAAACTGAGGAAGGTTCAAATCGACCAGCAGAGGTCCGTCTCAGTAAACCGCAGGTCCACGGGTTTGAACTTTAAACATTTTGAGGACTTCATCGTCCAGAAGATTCAGGTTTGAGTTTTGACTTGTTAATCGTCATGGAAACGGTCGTCTGTTTGTTCCAGCAGATTCGTGCGGCGTGGAGTTTTTGCCGCGGCCTCACTCTCTCACCGTCCACTCGTACAGAGCTCCTGCCTTCTGTGATCACTGCGGACTCATGCTCTGGGGACTCGTGCGCCAGGGCCTCAAGTGTGACGGTAAGACCGGGTTTAGACCGGGTCTAGACCAGGTTTAGACCGGGTCTAGACCAGGTTTAGACTGGGTCTAAACTGGGTTTAGACCGGGTTTAGACCGAGTTTAGACCAAGTTTAGACAGGGTTTAGACCAGGTTTAGGCCAGGTTTAGATTGGCTTTAGAAAGGTTTTAGACAAGCTTTAGTTTAAACCGGGTTTAGACCGGCTTTAGGCCAAGTTTAGGCCAAGTTTAGACCAGGTTTAGACCGAGTTTAGACCAAGTTTATACCGAGTTTAGACCAGATTTAGACAGGGTTTAGGCTGGGTTTACGCTGAGTTTAGGCCTGGTTTAGATCAGTGTTAGACTGGGTTAAACTGGGTTTAGACCTGGTTTAGACCTGGTTTAGACCTGGTTTAGACCGGCTTTAGACCAGCTTTAGACTAGCTTTAATTTAGGCCAGGTTTAGGCCGGGTTTAGGCTGTGTTTAGGGCTGGGTTGAGACCAGGTTTAGAATGGGTTTAGTCTGAGTTCAGTCCTGGCTCAGTCCTGGTTTAGTCTTTGTTGAGTCCTGGTTGAGTTCTGGTTGAGTCCTGGTCCTGGTTGAGTCCTGGTCCTGGTGTGTGTCTCCTCAGGTTGTGGGTTGAACTTCCATAAGCGTTGTGTGTTTAAACTCGTGGGCAGCTGCAGTGGAGCTCGGAGCCGGAGGAGATCCTCAGCCCTGAGTCTGACCTCAGCCAGACCGGACCAACCTGGACCTGGACCCGGACCCGGACCCGACCGGACCAGATCCACAGGCCTGGACTCAGAGGTCAGTGTGTTCTCCATCACCTGGTTCTGGTCTAGATACGGACTGTGGTCTAGTCCTGTTTGGAGTAAAGCAGTAAAACACTAACAGTCTGTCTCTGTCTGTCTGCTGTAGCTCCCCCTGGTGGCCGCGGGCTGCAGACGCTCCTCTCAGCTCCCCCTGGTGGACAGAGGGGTGAAGGTTCCTCACACGTTCTCCGTTCACTCGTTCTCGCGGCCGGTCGTGTGTGGTCTGTGTGAGCGAGCGCTGAGGGGGCTATTCAGACAAGGACTGCAGTGCCGAGGTGAAACACAAGCACACAAACTGAAACTGAAACTAAAACTGAAACTGAAACACAAACACACAAACTGAAAACTGAAACTGAAACTAAAACTGAAACACAAACTGAAACACAAACACAAACGGAGGCTTCAGAAACTGTCTGTCTCCGATTTGCAGCTCCATCTCTGAAAACCTAAAACAGAACAAAGAAAAGGTCAGGTGCAGTCAGGTCAGGACCAGAGGTGTGGAAGCTCCATCATGGTCCTGGATGATTCTGCTGATAAGATCCACACTCAGGACAGTTCCATAGGCTGTACTACAAACACAAACACAAACTGTAAATAAGGGCTCATCAAATTAAGGCCCACGGGCCGACTCTGGCCCTCTACGCCACCACACCACACCACACACACACACACACACACACACTGGAACTGGCCCCATGAGACAATCCACAAAAGTGTCACAGTCTGTTTTTCAAAAATATTTTTTGGCAAATAATAACACATCTGCAGCTTGTATTTTGTAGATTTTTTTCAATTAAAAAAATTATATTTATATGAAGTATTTATATTTAAATAATTATGTGAAATATTTACATTTACCACAGAATTTTCGTCAGCTGACAAACTCCAGATAAAACACACACAGAGTTCTGTAGTGCAGATAAAAACAGAAGAGGCAGAATGACTCAAGTTAAAGTACAAAAAAAAAGACCAGTGAACAACAGTGTTCAGTGTTCGTGCAGTTTGTCTGATTTAAAGAAAGTTCAGAGGTTTTCAAAGATATAATCTGCGTCGTCAGGGTCAAACACTTCTGTTCTATGACCGACCCCGACCCCCGTCACAGTCAGGAGCCAGAATGTGGCCCCCAGAGACAAAACGTTTGGGGACTCGTGCTGTAAACAGTGTGTGTTAGTTCCAGAGGAGTTTCAGTGTAGTTAGCTCCTCCTGCAGCAGATGTAAGAAACTGTCCTCCAGAGTCTGACACAACTGAAGAAGCAGCCTGGATGAGCTCAGAAACATTTTCCACCAAATAAACTTTAGTTCATTTACAAACTGAATTTCTCCTTTTACCGTGAAAAACAAAACCCAAGACACAAAGAACTGAACGAAGAAGATCTGGACAGAAATGTGATGGACTCATTTTATGAACAAACATGTTTCTTCTTTTACAGCGACACGTTTATTTTCACGCTTTAGAAAGTCGCTGCTGAGCCACGACGAGAAACAAGAAACAGCGAGAAACTTCAAATAAACCAGAAAGAATAAAATATCAAAATTAAAATAGGCACTGAAATTTAAAATAAACTTTAAATTAAATATTAGAAACAGAAGTCGAAATCTGTTTTTTTGTTTTTGTTATTTTTTGTTAGACACTAAAACAGAAAAAATTAAATAAATTAAATAATAATCAGTTTTCTCATTTTACTATTTTTTGTTCTTGATTTAAATTGAAAAGAACAAACGGGGAAACAAACCAAATCCTGTTTTATTTTTCGTTTTTCAGATTGTAAATTCGTCTGTCACAAAAAATGTGCCTCAAACGCCCAAAGAGACTGTCCAGGAGAAACAGAGTCCAGCGGAGGTGAGACCGGACCAGGACTAAACCAGGACTAAACCAGGACTAAACCAGGACTAAACCAGGACCAAACCAGGACTAAACCAGGACCAAACCAGGACTAAACCAGGACTAAACCAGGACTAAACCAGGACTAGGACCAGGACCAGGACTAAACCAGGACTAAACCAGGACTAAACCAGGACCCAGGACCAGGAAACCAGGACTAAACCAGGACTAAACCAGGACTAAAACCAGGACCAGGACCAGGAACCAGGACTAAACCAGGACTAAACCAGGACTAAACCAGGACTAAACCAGGACTAAACCACCGGACCAGGACTAAACCAGGACTAAACCAGGAACCAGGACCAGGACCAGGACTAAACCAGGACTAAACCAGGACCAGGACCAGGACTAAACCAGGACTAAACCAGGACTAAACCAGGACTAAACCAGGACTGAACCAGGACTAAACCAGGACTAAACCAGGACTAAACCAGGACCGGACCAGGACTAAACCAGGACTAAACCAGGACCAAACCAGGACTAAACCAGGACTAAACCAGGACTAAACCAGGACTAAACCAGGACCAAACCAGAGACAGACCGGGTCAGGACCAGGACTAAACCAGGACTAAACCAGAGACAGACCGGGTCAGGACCAGGACTAAACCAGGACTAAACCAGGACTGAACAGGACTAAACCAGGACTAAACCAGGACTGGATCAAGACTAAACCAGGACTGGACCAGGACTAAACAAGGATTGGACCAGGACTGGACCAGGACCAAACCAGGACTGGACCAGGACCAAACCAGGACTAAACCAGGACTAAACCAGGACTGGACCAGGACTTGTTTTAGTATGAGCTGGATTTCACTTTTTTTTTAATCCATGTTTTTTTTTTTTCTCTTTTGTCTCTGTTTCTTTCCTCAGATCCCGACCTCCAGAGTCCAGAGTCGGTCCTGGGTTCTGGTCTGGGTCCGGTCTTGGGTCTGGGTCCAGTCCTGGTGGAGGAGGCCCCTGACGGCGACGGACTCGACTCAAACGGACCAGAGACAGAAGGACAAGAAGACACGGACACCAGGTCAAGAATACTGAAAGTCCTGGTTTAGTCCTGGTTTAGTCCTGGTTTAGTCCTGGTTTAGTCCTGGTTTAGTCCTGGTCCTGACCCGGTCCATCTCCGGTCTTTTCTCTGGTTTAGCCCTGGTTCAGTCCTGCTCCAGTCCTGGTTTAGTCCTGGTTTAGTCCTGGTCCAGTCCTGGTTTGGTCCTGGTCCAGTCCTGGTTTGGTCCTGGTCCAGTCCTGGTTTGGTCCTGGTCCAGTCCTGGTTTAGTCTTGATCCAGTCCTGGTTTAGTCCTGGTCCGGTCCTGGTTTGGTCCTGGTTCAGTCCTGGTTCAGTCCTGGTTTAGTCCTGGTTTAGTCCTGGTTTAGTCCTGGTCTAGTCCTGGTCCTGACCCGGTCCTGACCCGGTCCGTCTCCGGTCTTTTCTCTGGTTTAGCCCTGGTTCAGTCCTGTCCAGTCCTGGTTTAGTCCTGGTTTAGTCCTGGTTTAGTCCTGGTCTAGTCCTGGTCCTGACCCGGTCCTGACCCGGTCTTGTTTCCGGTCTTTTAGTCCGGTGAATATCCCTCTGATGCGTGTGGTCCAGTCGCTGCGTCAGACGAAGCGTCGCGGTTCGGCCGTGGTCAGGGACGGCTGGATGGTTCACTACAGCAGCCGCGACGACCTGGTAACCACGACGACGCCCCGACACCGTCACCGTGACAACAGCACCGCAGGCCACGCCCACACACACCACAGGCCACGCCCCCAAAACAAACCACGCCCACAAACACACACACACAGGATTCAGATCTAATATCCTCATTGGCCACATTTACATGATGTTTTTTTATTCCGAATTAATTCAAATCTTCTCTTTTTGTTTCCGTGTAAATAAGAATAATGTTGAATTGTTGTTTGGTGTTAAACTGGTGAAATGTTTTTTATTTAATGTGTGTGAGCGTCCGGGGGGGAGGTTTTGATTGGACAGAAACACCAACAGATTTACGTCTTTGCGAAGAAAACTCACACATCAGCCGCTCCCGTCTTTTCTGTCGTCTCGGTTTGTCGTTCCTCCACCGTCCAAACTTTTGTGACGCTTTTTTGCTTTTTTAAAACACCTTGACAAGATTTTGGTGTGAATTATTTCCGTCGTAATCCCAAGAATTCAAGTCAAAAACACATTTCTTCATGTTGTCTGCGCTGAAATGCATCATGGGAAATGTAGTTCCCCATGTTTTTAAGATGTTATTATAAAACCGTGAATTTAAGCAAAGAAACTTGTAATTCGATGTATTGTGAGAGCCCACGATTCTTATTCTGAGACTTTTGATGATACGATATCACGATATTTTGGTTATTGTTACATCACTATTGAGGAATAAATTAATTCAGCTTTAAAATCAAAATAAACCTCCATTTACTTCGGAATTAAGTTTAATTACGAATTATCATTTTCATTAAGAATTAAGAGTTTACATGGACTTTTAAAGCAGAATAAATTTGTATTCAAAATTAAATTATTTTTATTTGGAATTAAATTATTTGTATTCAGAGTTAAATTATTTTTATTAACAATTAAAAAAAATGTATTCAGGGTTAAATTATTTTTATTCAGAGTTAAATTATTTTTTATTCAGAATTAAATTATTTTTATTCAGAATTAAATTATTTTTATTTACAATAATTTTTTAATTCAAAGTTAAATTATTTTTTATTCAGAATTAAATAATTTTTTATTCAGAATTTAAAAAAAATTTATTCAGAATTAAATTAATTTTATTTACAATTAATTTTTTTTTATTCAGAATTAAATTATTTTTTATTCAGAATTTAATTTTTTTATTCAGAATTAAATTATCTTTATTCAGAATTAAATGATTTGTATTCGGAATTAAATCTCTCGTGTAAACGTGGCAGTTGTAAAATCAAACTGGAACAATCTTCCATCTCCTCCACATTCCCTGGGAGTGTGACGCTAACTGGAGGCACTGCTCCGTCTGTCCAGTTAAACATTTATTTTAACACAATCTGAACTTAAAGAACTAATTTATCTGAACTGAACAGGTGAGTTTTTCAGTTTGTCTTTTTCACCTTTTAGTGTAAAATCAAACTCTCGGATCACAGGGAAATAAAAACAAATCTTTAAATCATTTTTCTGTTTTTCATTTTTGAGTTTTCAGACGATCTTGAAACGTTTCTGGATTTTGTTTCAGAGGAAAAGACACTTCTGGAGACTCGACACCAAAACTCTGACTCTGTATCAAAACCAGAACGACTCCAAGTTCTACAAGGTCAGAACTGAACCAGGACTAAAACAGGACTAAACCAGGACCCAGGACTAAACCAGGACTAAACCAGGACTAAACCAGGACTAAAACAGGACTAAACCAGGACTGAACCAGGACTAAACCAGGACTAAAAACCAGGACTAAACCAGGACTAAACCAGACTGACTAAACCAGGACTGAACCAGGACTAACCAGGACTAAACCAGGACTAAAACAGGACTAAACCAGGACTAAACCAGGACTGAAACCAGGACTAAACAGGACTAAACCAGGACTAAACCAGGACTAAACCAGGACTGAACCAGGACTAAACCAGGACTAAACCAGGACTAAACCAGGACTAAACCAGGACTGAACCAGGACTAAACAGGACTAACCAGGACTGAACCAGGACTGAACCAGGACTAAACCAGGACTAAACCAGAAATAAACCAGGAATAAACCAGGACTGAACCAGGACTAAACCAGGACTAAAACAAGACTAAACCAGGACTGAACCAGACTAAACCAGGACTAAACCAGGACTAAACCAGGACTGAACCAGGACTAAAACAAGACTAAACCAGGACTAAACCAGGACTGAACCAGGACTAAACCAGGACTGAACCAGAACTGAACCAGGACTAAACCAGGACTGAACCAGGACTGAACCAGGACTAAACCAGGACTGAACCAGGAACCAGGACTAAACCAGGACTAAACCAGGACTAAACCAGGACTAAACCAGGACTGAACCAGGACTGAACCAGGACTAAACCAGGACTCTTCTCGGTCTGGTTCCAGGAGCTTCCTCTGTCTGAGATCCTGAGGGTGGACTCCTCCGCGGACCCGGATCTAAACCAGGACTCGGACTCGGGGACCGGGGCCCGGTTTTCCCTGGTCACCTCGTCCGTGGTTTACTACGTGGTGGAGGACTCGGGAGGAGAGGGACCAAAGTCCGACTCAGATCCTGGTCCAGACCCGGGATCCGAGGTCCAGAGCTGGAAGAAAACCCTGAGACAAGCCCTGAGACCCATGACCGAGACCCAGAGCCCACAGACAGGTGAGAGCGACAGGGGCGGGCAGGGGCGGGCAGGGGCCGACAGGAGTCCTGGTCTTGGATTAGTCTTTGTTTAGTCCTGGTTTAGTCTTGGTTCAGTTCTGGTTTAGTTCTTCATTAGTCCAGACAGGAGCGGACAGGAGCAGACAGGAGCAGACAGGAGCTGACAGGAGCAGACAGGAGTTGACGGGAGCAGACGGGAGCAGACAGGAGCAGACAGGAGCTGACGGGAGCAGACGGGAGCAGACGGGAGCAGACAGGAGCAGACAGGAGCAGGAGACAGGAGCAGGCAGGAGCAGACAGGAGTTGACAGGAGACAGGAGCAGCAGGAGCAGCAGACAGGAGCAGACAGGAGCAGACAGGAGCAGACAGGAGCTGACAGGAGCAGACAGGAGCAGACAGGAGACAGACAGGAGCAGACAGGCAGACAGACAGGAGCTGACAGGAGCAGGACAGGAGCAGACAGGAGCAGACAGACAGGAGCAGACAGGAGCTGACAGGAGCAGACAGGAGCAGACAGGAGACAGACAGGAGCAGACAGGAGGACAGAGAGCAGGACAGAGACAGGAGCAGACAGGAGGAGCAGACAGAGCAGGAGAGACAGGAGCAGACAGGAGCAGACAGGAGCAGACAGGCAGACAGGACAGAGAGACAGACAGAGCAGACAGGAGCAGACAGGAGCAGACAGGAGCAGACAGGAGCAGACAGGAGCAGGACTCACACAGATTAAGAGGATTTTCTGCTCCATTTCTCAGTTTTCGGCTCAACTCAAAATGTTCCTTTAATCCTGCATCAACGGGATTAAACCTGAAACACTCAAAACCTGGTCCAGACCTGGTCCAGACCTGGTCCAGACCTGGTCCAGTCCTGGTCCAGACCTGGTCCAGACCTGGTCCAGTCCTGGTCCAGACCTGGTCCAGACCTGGTTTAGTCCCTGGTCCAGTCCTGGTCCTGGTTCAGTCCTGGTTTAGTCCCAGTTTACTCCTGGTTTAGACCTGGTTCAGTCCTGCTCCAGTTCTGGTTTAGACCTGGTTTAGTCCTGGTTTAGTCCTGGTCCAGTCCTGGTCCAGTTCTGGTTTATTCCTGGTCTAGTCCCGATTTAGTCCTGGTTTAGACCTGGTTTACTCCTGGTCCAGTCCTGGTTTAGTCCTGGATTAGTCCTGGTTAGTCCTGGTCGTGGTTCAGTCCTGGTTTAGTCCTGGTCCAGTTCTGGTTTAGTCCTGGTTTAGTCCTGGTCAGTCTGGTTTAGTCCTGGGTTAGTCCTGGTTTAGTCCTGGTCCTGGTTTAGACCTGGTTTAGTCCTGGTCCAGTCCTGGTTTAGTCCTGGTTTGGTTCTGGTTTTGGTCCTGGTCCAGTTCTGGTTTAGTCCTGGTCCTGTTTAGACCTGGTTTAGTCCTGGTCCTGGTCCTGGTTCAGTCCTGGTCCATGGTTTATGGTTTGGTCTAGTCCTGGTTTATTCCTGGTCCAGTTCTGGTTTAGTCCTGGTTTAGTCCTGGTCCAGTTCTGGTTTAGACCTGGTTTCAGTTCTGGTTTAGACCTGGTTTAGTCCTGGTTCAGTCCTGGTCCAGACCTGGTTTAGTCCTGGTTCAGTCTGACCTAGTTGTGTATTGATCGTTGTGTTTATTGATTCAAAAGTTTCAGTTCAGTTTCGCTCTGATCACATGAACTAAACTCTTCAAATAAAAAACAGAAACATTTTAAATAAACTCATAAAAATGTTTGTGTAAATGTGTAAATGTGTCGTATTCTCCAGCAAATCTTCAACCAACAAACTCCACAAAGGATAAACTTTCTAACATGAACCAAACTAAACCTTTTGCTCACGAATAAAACAACAACAGGTTCAGGTTTCCCACGGTCATGGAAATCCTGGAAAAAAGTCATGGAATGTTAGTCTCTTTCCCTTCGCTCCAGTGTTGTGTTCAGTTCTCGTGAGTCTGTTTCTGATTCTTTGTGAACGTCTGAGTCTTTTCTTTAAAAAGAGGCGACAATAAATGCACTGACAGGATTTAGAACCTTCAAAAACTCTAATCCAAGAACAGAAGGAGAGGGGAAAGATTTAACATTTCAGATTTATATTTTAAAAGTCTGATCAGTTTTACACGTGTAGGTGCTGTAAGGTCATGGAAAATTCACTTTAGCTCATGGAAAAGTCATGGAAAAAGAGTGAGAACCGTGAAAGTAACTCAGATTGATTCTAGAATTAAGATTAAAAAATGTATTTAAAGGTTGTATAGAGGATTTTCCAAGGAAGGAGACTGTTTGTCCTTTTTCAAATGTTGCTCCTACGTAGAAACACCTCCTCCCTCCTCCTCCTTACGCCACAAACAGGTTTGTTTACAGCCGCTGCACATGACTTGTAAACAACTAACTACAGTGTTGGTTAGACAAGACGGAGAAGTGAGGAGCAGGAAAGGGGAGCAGAGAAGAGTGCACAGAGATTCAGTGTGAATGAACTAACTACAACACGCAGCAGCAGGCGGACTCTTTCTTTGCCTTGAAAATTACGTTTTCAGACATAGGATATCGCTTTCGTGTCCTGAAAAACGTTTGTGTCGCTCTTGGAAATAAAGTAGGTTTTCATAATCAGCAGAAGTTTCCTGTCCAGGAGTAATTTGTGGACCAGTGCTTCAGTCTTTAGACTCTTCGTCTGCTTCAGTCGCGCCATCGCTGGAATGAATCTCCAAGAATCACCTTAGTTTGGCTTCGCTGCTTTTCCCCTTGTCTTCTTCTTTCACCTCAAAAACAGACTTTCTTTTGCGGCGAACTGCTCCTGGATTCTTGTCGCCATCGCAACAAACTTTGTGCGAACTGCGAGGAAGATATAGGTCAAAAAAAGCCGCTAAGAACTGTTGCGTTGGTGGAGTAAACAGCGTCTGTGTCGTACGTAAACCACGTACCGGCGGCGCAGGCAAGTCAGTTACACTAGAAACGTAGGGAGTTTGATTGACAGCCTGTCAGCTCACAGATAACGAGGCAGTGTCGTTATCTATTGGCAAATGTTTAGCCCCACCACGTCCAGAGTTGATGAATTTTTATTCTCTTTTTTTTGGTCATCATAATTACAAGGCGACTGCATCTATAATCTATCACTGACAATTTGAAACAAAAAAAATCCTCCATACGACCTTTAGTGATCGAGAAATAGAGATAAATAGAGATTTTTAGATAGACAGAGATTTGTGCCGTTTAAATGTTAAACATGCGTCTGTGAACATCTGTCGTCTTCCAGCTGCACAAAACTCTGTCTGTGCAAATCTCCACGTCGTGAAACAGGTTTTAATTTCCACAGTAGAACGAGTCTGAGTGAACAAGTTTCCTTCTGTTTTCTTCAGGATCAGAACATGAGTTGAGTTTGTCGTGCGACTCATGCGGCTCGTCGTTGTTTCCTTTAAGTTTTGTTCTTTCTTCTCTTGATCGTTGTGGATAAATTGTTCTCGTTGGTTGAAGATTTGGTGGAGCAGATTTATGAAGCTGCTGGAGAATAAAAAGTTCCACAAAACCTCCAGCGGGAAACTTCTGATGATGTGAAACAGGCGCGTTCACTGATCTGTTCTCACTTCCTGTTCCTCAGAGGATCAGACCGAGGGCAGGTGCGACAGGTGCGACAGGTGCGACAGGTGCGACGGGTGCCAGGTGCAGCAGAGACAGGTGAGTTTGTGAGACTGGAGGGTGGAGCGGGTCAGGCCTCAGGTCAGGTCAGTCCTCAGGTCTCAGGTCCTCAGGTCCTCAGGTCCTCAGGTCCTCAGGTCGGTCCTCAGGTCCTCAGGTCGGTCCTCAGGTTGGTCCTCAGGTCGGTCCTCAGGTCAGGTCCTCAGGTCCTCAGGTCGGTCCTCAGGTCAGGTCCTCAGGTCGGTCCTCAGGTCGGTCCTCAGGTCGGTCCTCAGGTCCTCAGGTCGGTCTCAGGTCCTCAGGTCCTCGGTCCTCAGGTCCTCAGGTTGGTCCTCAGGTCGGTCCTCAGGTCCTCAGGTCGGTCCTCGGTCGGTCCTCAGGTCCTCAGGTCTCAGGTCCTCAGGTCAGGTCCTCAGGTCTCAGGTCCTCAGGTTCAGGTCCTCAGGTCAGGTCCTCAGGTTGGTCCTCAGGTCCTCAGGTCCTCAGGTTGGTCTTCAGGTCCTCAGGTTGGTCCTCAGGTCCTCAGGTCCTCAGGTTGGTCTTCAGGTCCTCAGGTTGGTCTCAGGTCCTCAGTTGGTCCTCAGGTTCAGGTCCTCAGGTCAGGTCCTCAGGTCCTCAGGTCCTCAGGTTGGTCCTCAGGTCGGTCCTCAGGTCCTCAGGTCCTCAGGTGGTCCTCAGGTCTCAGGTTGGTCCTCAGGTTGGTCCTCAGGTCCTCAGGTCGGTCTCAGGTCCTCAGGTCCTCAGGTCGGTCTTCAGGTCCTCAGGTCCTCAGGTCGGTCCTCAGGTCCTCAGGTCTTCAGGTCAGGTTCAGATGGAGACTGGAGTTCGCTGACGCTCAGACAAGTTTAACTGAATCATAAACAAAAACTACAAACATTTGTCCATAGAAGCACATGTAGAACCCCCCTCAGGAGGATCTGGTCTTGACTCGTGTCTGTGGTTTTGTCTCAGGACGTCGGCTCCGTGTATCAGATCTTCACAGACGAGGTTCTGGGCTCTGGGCAGTTCGGCGTCGTTTACGGAGGTGAGTTTGATTTTTTTATAATTTTTTTTTTTTAACTTTTATTTTGAGGTAAAACTACAGAAAACTCCACAGACGAACTTTTATAGAGTCACTTTTGCCTCATTAACATCCACAAATGCAAATTTAATATTTGTAACTTGTATTTACAAATAGATGTGTATTTCTAAATGTATCTTTTTTATTTTGTAAAACTGAAAATTCTGTTTGTAAAATGAGATTCACATTTGTTGATCAATAATTACACAAATTCACAGATTTTGTGACGTATTTTTGAAACTAAGAAAAATCCATAAACAGACGCACAACCTCCCAGAGCCTGTAGAGGCGCTGCTGGCGCTGCTGGCGCTGCTGGCGCTGCTGGCGCTGCTGGCGCTGCTGGCGCTGCTGGCGCTGCTGGCGCTGCTGGCGCTGCTGGTGCAGACGTTCACTGAGACTGTGAGCTATGCTAATGCTAACACATTAAAATTTTCAGAACAAAATGTCATAAATAATAATAAATAAGAAATTGGTCTTGTAAAAATTCATGAATATTACACACCCCGAACAAAAACACCTGTGGAACATTCCTGAATTTTCTACGATTATTAATTGTGACGTGTTTTTACTTAATTATTACATGTGTTAGCATTAGCATAGCTCACAGTCTCAGCTAACTCCTGCGCCAACAAACAGCGCCAACAGCGCCAACAGCGCCAACAGCGCCAACAGCGCCAACAGCGCCTCTACAGGCTCCGTGTTTGTGCGTCTGTTTGTGTTTCTGGATTTTTCTAAAACAAAATCTCAAAAATACACAAACTCACAGATTTCCTCTGTGACGTAATTATTGATCCAAAAATATGAATCTCATTTTACAAACAGAATTTTCAGTTTTACAAATGTTTTTTTTTTTTCTTTAGCAAATGAAACTTTTTTTTTTTTTTTTTAACAAACACACATCTGTTTGTAAAAAACAAAATACAAGTTACAAATATTAAATTTGCACCTGTCGATTTCAAAACACATGAACGCTGTAGATCAAACTCTGTGGGTTTGGGAAGATTCGTGAGGTAAAAGTGAAGATTCATGAGGTAAAAGTGAATATTCATTTGTGAGGTAAAAGTGAATATTCATGAGGTAAAAGTGAAGACTCGTGAGGTAAATTTGACCCGTAGAGATTTTTTCTGTTCTCAGGGAAACACAGAGAAACAGGACGAGACGTGGCCATAAAAATCATCGACAAACTGCGTTTCCCAAACAAAGAGGAAAGTGAACTGACCAGACCAGGACGAGGACCAGGCCATGACCAGGACTGACCAGGACTGGACCAGGACCAGGACCAGACCAGGACCAGGACCAGGACCAGACCAGGACCAGGACCAGGACCAGACCAGGACCAGACCAGGACCAGACCAGACCAGACCAGGACCAGACCAGACCAGACCAGGACCAGACCAGGACCAGGACCAGGACCAGACCAGACCAGGACCAGGACCAGACCAGACCAGACCAGACCAGACAGACCAGGACTAGACCAGACCAGACCAGGACCAGGACCAGGACCAGACCAGACCAGGACCAGGACCAGGACCAGACCAGACCAGACCAGGACCAGACCAGGACCAGACCAGACCAGACCAGGACCAGGACCAGACCAGACCAGGACCAGGACCAGCAGACCAGGACCAGGACCAGACCAGGACCAGACCAGACCAGGACCAGGACCAGACCAGGACCAGGACCAGGACTGGACCAGGACCAGACCAGGACTGACCAGACCAGACCAGGACCAGGACCAGACCAGATGGGACCAGGACCAGACTGGACCAGACTTGACTGGACTAGACCGCACCAGACCAGACTCAAACTGGACCAACAGCAGACAAGCCCAGACCAGACTACACCAGACCAGACTACACCAGACCAGACTACACCAGACCAGGCCAGACCAGGACCAGGACCAGACCAGATCAGACCAGAATGGAACAGGACCAGACCAGATGGGACCTGGACCAGACTGGACTAGACCACACCAGGACCAGACTGGACCACACCAGACCAGATCAGACCAGATCAGACCAGACCAGACCCAGACCAGATCAGACCACATCAGGACCAGACCGGACCAGACCAGATCAGACTGGACCAGGACCAGAACCAGACCAGAATGGAACAGGACCAGACCAGATGGGACCTGGACCAGACTCGACTAGACCAGACCAGACCACACCAGACCAGACTACCAGACCAGACCAGACTGGACCACATCAGACCAGACTGGACCAAAGACACATCAGACCACATCAGACCAGACTGGACCCCATCAGACCACACCAGACCAGAACACACAGACCATTTTCTTCACAGACTGTCAGTGACCTGATGTAAAACCCTCTGCACCGAGTCAGAATAATAAAGCCTCAGGTCTGGTGGTGTTTGTTCTCGTGTTCAGACGGTGCATCATCCCGGGGTCGTTTCTCTTCAGTCTGTGTTCGAGACTCCAGAGAAAGTTTTTGTGGTGATGGAAAAACTTCAGGGCGACATGTTGGAGATGATTCTGTCGAGCGAGAAAGGACGACTCCCTGAACGCACCACCAGGTTCCTCCTCACTCAGGTCAGACCCTGAACGCACCACCAGGTTCCTCCTCACTCAGGTCAGACCCGAACGCACCACCAGGTTCCTCCTCACTCAGGTCAGACCTCCGCACCACCACCCTCCCTCACTCAGGTCAGACCCTCGAACGCACCACCAGGTTCCTCCTCACTCAGGTCAGACCCTGAACGCACCACCACTCACAGGCAGGTTCCTCCTCACTCAGGTCAGACCCCGAACGCACCACCAGGTCCTCCTCACTCAGGTCAGACCCTGAACGCACCACCAGGTTCCTCCTCACTCAGGTCAGACCCTGAACGCACCACCAGGTTCCTCCTCACTCAGGTCAGACCTTCGAAACGCACACCAGGTTCCTCCTCACTCAGGTCAGACCCTGAACGCACCACCAGGTTCCTCCTCACTCAGGTCAGACACCAGGTCCTCCTCACTCAGGTCAGACCCCCGAACGCAACCACCAGGTTCCTCCTCACTCAGGTCAGACCCTGAACGCACCACCAGGTTCCTCCTCACTCAGGTCAGACCCCGAACGCACCACCAGGTTCCTCCTCACTCAGGGTCAGACGCACCACCAGGTTCCTCCTCACTCAGGTCAGACCCTCGAACGCACCACCAGGTTCCTCCTCACTCAGGTCAGACCCCGAACGCACCACCAGGTTCCTCCTCACTCAGGTCAGACCCGAACGCACCACCAGGTTCCTCCTCACTCAGGTCAGACCCTGAACGCACCACCAGGTTCCTCCTCACTCAGGTCAGACCCTCAAACGCACCACCAGGTTCCTCCTCACTCAGGTCAGACCCTGAACGCACCACCAGGTTCCTCCTCACTCAGGTCAGACCTCGAACGCACCACCAGGTTCCTCCTCACTCAGGTCAGACCCTGAACGCACCACCAGTTCCTCCTCACTCAGGCAGACCTCGAACGCACACCAGTTCCTCCTCACTCAGGTCAGACCCTGAACGCACCACCAGGTTCCTCCTCACTCAGGTCAGACCCCGAACGCACCACCAGGTTCCTCCTCACTCAGGTCAGACCCTCGAACGCACCACCAGGTTCCTCCTCACTCAGGTCAGACCCTCGAACGCACCACCAGGTTCCTCCTCACTCAGGTCAGACCCTCGAACGCACCACCAGGTTCCTCCTCACTCAGGTCAGACCCTCGAACGCACCACCAGGTTCCTCCTCACTCAGGTCAGACCCCGAACGCACCACCAGGTTCCTCCTCACTCAGGTCAGACCCTCGAACGCACCACCAGGTTCCTCCTCAGGTCAGACCCCAAACGCACCACCACCTCACTCAGGTCTACCTCACTCACAGGTCAGACCCTGAACGCACCACCAGGTTCCTCCTCACTCAGGTCAGACCCTCGAACGCACCACCAGGTCCCTCCTCACTCAGGTCAGATCTTCAAAACGCACCACCAGGTTCCTCCTCACTCAGGTCAGACCCCGAACGCACCACCAGGTTCCTCCTCACTCAGGTCGACCACCAGGTTCCTCCTCACTCAGTCAGGACCCTGAACGCACCACCAGGTTCCTCCTCACTCAGGTCAGACCCTGAACGCACCACCAGGTTCCTCCTCACTCAGGTCAGACCCTGAACGCACCACCAGGTTCCTCCTCACTCAGGTCAGACCCCTGAACGCACCACCAGGTTCCTCCTCACTCAGGTCAGACCCGAACGCCCTAACGCACCACCAGGTTCCTCCTCACTCAGGTCAGACCCTCGAACGCACCACCAGGTTCCTCCTCACTCAGGTCAGACCCTGAACGCACCACCAGGTTCCTCCTCACTCAGGTCAGAACCCAGGAATCACCACCAGGTTCCTCCTCACTCAGGTCAAGACCTCTGAACGCACCACCAGGTTCCTCCTCACTCAGGTCAGGACCCTCGAACGCACCACCAGGTTCCTCCTCACTCAGGTCAGACCCTCGAACGCACCACCAGGTTCCTCCTCACTCAGGTCAGACCTTCGAAACGCACCACCAGGTCCCTCCTCACTCAGGTCAGACCCTGAAGCACCACCAGGTTCCTCCTCACTCAGGTCAGACCCCTCAAACGCACCACCAGGTTCCTCCTCACTCACAGGTCAGACCCGCAACCACCACCAGGTTCCTCCTCACTCAGGTCAGACCCTGCAGCAACCCACCAGGTTCCTCCTCACTCAGGTCAGACCCTCAAACGCACCACCAGGTCCTCCTCACTCAGGTCAGACCCTCAGGGTCAACGCACCACCAGGTTCCTCCTCACTCAGGTCAGACCCCGAACGCACCACCAGGTTCCTCCTCACTCAGGTCAGATCTGAACGCACCACCAGGTTCCTCCTCACTCAGGTCAGCGCTTCGTGTCGTTTGCCCTCAGGTCCTCGTGGCTCTGAAACATCTGCACTCGAAAAACATCGTCCACTGTGACCTGAAGCCCGAGAACGTCCTCCTGACCTCCTGCCTGAACCTGACTAAACCAGAACTAAAACCGGCCTTAACCAGTGGACTAAACCTCTGAACCGCCCAGGTCCCTAACCAGAACTAAAACCAGGTCCAAAACTAAACCAGAACTAAACCAGACTAACCCTAGAGAACTTAACCAGAGGACTAAACCAGGACAGGACTAAACAGACTAAACCACCAAACTAAACCAGGAACTAAACCAGGACTAAACCAGGACTAAACAGGACTAACCAGGGACTAACCAGGACTGAACCAGGACTAAACCAGACTAAACCACTTAACCAGGTCTAATCCAGGACTAAACCAGGACTACTAAACCAGGACTAAAACCAGGACTAACCAGAACCAGACTAAAACCAGGACTAAACCAGAAACTAAACCAGGACTAAACACTAAACCAGGTCTAAACCAGGACTAAACAGGACTAAACCAGACTAACCAGGACTAAACCAGGTCTACCAGACTAAACCAGGTCTAAACCAGGTCTAAACCAGGTCTCTTCTCGTCCCTCAGGTGAAGTTGTGTGACTTCGGCTTCGCTCGTATCATCGGCGAGCGTTCGTTCCGGCGCTCGGTGGTGGGCACGCCGGCGTACCTGGCGCCCGAGGTGCTGAGGGGGCGGGGCTATAACCGCTCGCTGGACATGTGGAGCGTCGGCGTCATCGTCTACGTGAGTCTGAGCGGAACCTTCCCCTTCAACGAGGACGAGGACGTCAACGAGCAGATCCACAACGCCGCCTTCATGTACCCGCCCAAGACCTGGGGGGGCGTGTCCAGAGCTGGTACGAGCGCGGGGGGGAGGGGCCAGAGCCGGTACGAGCCGGGGGAGGGGCCAGAGCCCCGCGGCGCGCGGGGGGGGGAGGGGCCAGAGCCCGTGAGGGCAGAGCGGGGGGGGCCGTACGAGCCGAGGGGGCCAGGGGGAGGGGCCAGCGCGGGGGGAGGGCCAGAGCCGGTACGAGCCTAGCCCAGAGACCTGGCCCGGGGCGGGAGGGGCCAGAGCCGGTACGAGCGCGGGGGAGGGGCCAGAGCCGGTACGAGCAGGGGGGGGGAGGGGCCAGGCCAGAGGGAGGTGGGGGAGGGCCAGAGCCGGTACGAGCGGGGGGAGGGGCCAGAGCCGGTACGAGCGGGAGGAGGCGGGGGGGAGGGGCCAGAGCCGGTACGAGCGCGGGGGGAGAGGGGGCCAGCCAGAGCCGGTACGAGCGCGGGGGAGGGGCCAGAGCCGGTACGAGTACGGGGGAGGGGAGCCAGCCGGTCGAGGGGGGGAGGGGCCAGAGCGGTACAGGGGGAGGGGCCAGAGCCGGGGGAGGGGCAGGGGGGAGGGGGCCAGAGCCGGTACGAGCGGGGGGAGCCAGAGCGGTAGAGGCCGGCCAGAGCGCGGGGGGGGCCAGGCCGGTTTAGTTCTAGTTTAGTCCAGAGGGTTTAGTTCTAGTTTAGTCCCGGTTTAGTTCTAGTTTAGTCCCGGTTTAGTCCTGGTTTAGTTCTAGTTTAGTCCTGGTTTAGTTCTAGTTTAGTCCCGGTTTAGTCCTGGTTTAGTCCTGGTTTAGTTCTAGTTTAGTCCCGGTTTAGTCCTGGTTTAGTTCTGGTTTAGTCCTGGTTTAGTTCTAGTTTAGTCCCGGTTTAGTTCTAGTTTAGTCCCGGTTTAGTCTGGTTTAGTTCTAGTTTAGTCCTGGTTTAGTTCTAGTTTAGTCCCGGTTTAGTCCTGGTTTAGTTCTAGTTTAGTCCTGGATTAGACCTGGTTTAGTTCTGGATTAGACCCACTTTTACTCTTTGGCTGGAGCATCGTATAAATTGTGTGTTTTTCTGTGTCTTTTATCTAATTTTATTTATTTATTTTTAATTAATTTTATTTTTTTATTTTAAGCATTTTAACACTTTTTATTTATTGTTTTTATTTATGATTTACAGTTTTTTATTGTATTATTTTTTCTGTGCAGCACTTTGGACACATTTTAAAACAGTTTTTAAAAGTTTAATTTATTTCTTCGTGTTTTTCTTCGACAGCGATCGACCTGATCTCAAGTCTGCTCCAGGTCAAGATGAGGAAAAGACTCAGCGTCGACAAAACCCTCAGCCACCCCTGGCTCCAGGTACAGACCCAGACCTGGTTTAGTCCTGGTTTAGTCCTGGTTTAGTCCTGGTTTAGTCCTGGTTTAATCCCTGTCTCTGTTGCAGGATTATGAGACCTGGTTGGACCTGAGGGAGTTCGAGCGAAAGTTTGGACAGAGATACTTGACCCACGAGAGCGACGACCAGAGATGGGACCAGTACAGAACTAAACCAGGACTAAAGCAGGACTGAACCAGGACTGAACCAGGACTGAACCAGGACTGAACCAGGACTAAAACAGGACTGAAGCAGGACTGACCCACAAACAGTCCTGGACCAGTGGGACCAGGAGCAGCAGACACACAGAGGACTTGGCCTGAGGACTTGTGGGAAATGGAGTTTCTCGTGTTATTTCATGTATTTATTTCTTTTTAAAATAAATTATCCAGTTTTTTTGTAAACGTTGGTCTGAGTCTCGTTTGTCTGGACTCGTGGAGCTCAGGAGGCGTCGGCGCAGACTCAGCCCAGGACAGGACTCCCTCTCCTGCTCGACTCAGACGTGCTTCTGCTTCAGGTGGATCTTGTGGTTTCATCTTTAAGTTCATGAAGTTCAGACGTCACATTTCACTTAAACCAGGGGTCGGGAACGTACGGCTCGTGAGCCAGGTGTGGCTCTTTTGATGACTGCTTCTGGCTCGCAGATAAAACATTAAATATTCTCACTTGTTTTTGGCTGCGTTTACACACAGCCGGGGATTTTGAGAAACGAATAATTCCCTCCTTTGTTTTCCAAATGAACAGACGGCATCGTTTTTCAAGAAAGTTTTTGTTTACATCAAAACGCATAAATCCTCCATCGAGCGTCGTCAGAACGACACCGAGACTCACAGACATTATAGTTGTAAGTTTTACTCACAAATACCTTAAAAACGTGCATTAGTGAGCGGCTCGCCTCTCCACAGATCTGTTAACCTCCGAGTCCTTGTTCATCTCTGCTCATGGATCTGATACGTCGTGGTTCAAGTGTAAACGTATTTTGGAAGACTACTCGAGTAAGAGTAACTGTCAGGACGTAACATCTGAGTTATCTGAAGGACAAAACATGAAATAACGAACAAAATCTGGTAAAAAAACCCAAACTAAATCATATTTGAAGAAGTTGAGCAGAGGAACAGTGCAGAAGACACATTTTCACATTATTTCATTGTCAACATAAAGCTTTTCTCACTTGTATATTTACTCAACACAGAGTTTTACTCAAGTCTGAGTACTGTTACTTCATTAAAAATATTCTTCAAGTAGTAAACGTTTGCTGCTACAAAAGTGCCATTTCTTAAACCTGTACAAATAAACCAGTACCTCCTCTGTTTATTTGTTTGTCACATCATTTTTGAGCATCAAAACAGCCTTGTTTAAGTCTATTATCATGTAACATTTGGATTTGGATTTATTGAATGTTAAAGGTGCATTTTTCTGTTGGAGGGTCGGCCTCCTGCTCGTCCTGCTGGACTCAAAGGAGATGTTGTTTTGCCTGGAATGTTCCGCAGTGTGGCTTTAAACATTTCTCATGGCAACCCCACTCACGGTAAGAAAAGAGTGAATGATTAAGCAATAAAAACACCCAGAATTTAATAAATGCAAGATATGTAACGCCTGATCTCTTCATGTAGGAAAAAAGGTGGTGAAGTATTTGTTCGAATTTGTTCTCAGAGTATTTGTTCAGAGTATTTGTTCAGAGTATTTGTTCAGAGTATTTGTTCAGTGTATTTGTTCAGTATTTGTTCAGTATTTGTTCAGAGTATTGTTCAGTATTTGTTCAGTATTTGTTCGTATTTGTTCAGAGTATTTGTTCAGAGTATTTGTTCAGTGTATTTGTTCAGAGTATTTGTTCAGAGTATTTGTTCAGTGTATTTGTTCAGAGTATTTGTTCAGAGTATTTGTTCAGTGTATTTGTTCATTTGTTCAGAGTATTTGTTCAGAGTATTTGTTCAGAGTATTTGTTCAGTGTATTTGTTCAGAGTATTTGTTCAGAGTATTTGTTCAGAGTATTTGTTCAGAGTATTTGTTCAGAGTATTTGTTCACCCACCAGAGGGCGCCAGAGTAAAACGAGTCAATCATCAAGACGTTCACGTTTATTTTAATGCAATGTGCAGTTTTTTTCTTAATATTTCAACAGTTTAAAGCTCACAGTGTTTATATACACATTATATAAGCTTAAGTGTCCTTAAAGAGAAAGAGTGAGACCTCAGTCATTTCAGTGGGTTTAAAACTATAAGAAAAATACATTTTCAGTCCAGTTAAAAAAGTAATAGAGTACAGACTCTACTCTTAAATGCAGTGAAACAAGATACAGTTAAGATGCAAAAAGTATCTTAAACTAAACAGGTAGACAGGTATTTAATACTCACATATGTGCAGTGTTGGGGAGTAACAGATTACATGTACCAGAGTAATCAGAGTACAAATTATGAGTAACTGTTTTCGGTTACAGTTACTGTTTCAGTGAGTGGTAATTGGATTACAGTTACTTTGTTCAAATAAATGGATTACATGGAGGTATTTTCCTGTTTTCACATTTTGGGCTGTATCCCCCCCACTTTTTTTTCTGGTAATTCCACTCATTGCTGGAAACTAAATCAGGTCTAAACTAGATCTAAACCAGGTCTAAACCAGGACTAAAACAGGATTTAACAGGACTAAATCCTGCTGTGTGGACGTGTTTCTTTGTCTTCTATCAATAATATTTTTAATTTGGTTCAGTAAAGTTTGGGCTTTTTATTTTCTTTTAACAGACAAAACATCTTAAGTCAAGATTTCCTCGTCTTTGCTTCTCTGCAGCAAATCAAGTAATCCAAAGTATTCAGATTACATTACTCACCTAAAGTAATTTAATGGATTATGTTACAAACTACATTTTGGTGTATGTAATCTGTAATCTGTAGGGGATTACATTTTAAAAGTGACCTTCCCAACACTGTTCACCGAGCACATTAGCAAGAAGTATTAAAATAATAATAAAAAAAAAATCTGGTAGCATGTACCCTTAAAATGTCTTATTTACCAGTACAATTTTAAAAATATAAATATAAATTATATTTACTTTCTACGCGTTTATTTTATAAATGACACGCCCGTCGGAGGACATTGGCTGAGACACTTCCGCTTCTGAGGTCACGTTCAGTCTCCGCTGGTCACGACGCAGCGCACGTGAGCGCAGATCTACCAACGTATGTAAAAAAAACACTTTATTCCACGATTTTAAACGAATAACACGACGACACAATAATGACATGTGCTTATTACGTTGTAGGAACCGAGGGAATTCCAACAAGACCAACAAAAAAAATAAAAATAAAAAATAAAAAAACAACGAGGAGGTGATTCGCCCGGGACTCGCATGACCACGCCGCGTGCTCCTGTGAACACCAGACCGAAAAAGGCTTTCAACTTGAGGTGAGTTTGTCCGCAGTTGTTGAAATGTGACACGGAAAGTTCGGGTTTGGTGTGATTTAAGATTTCTTGTCGTGAAACGCGAAGCTAACACGGGCTAGTTCATGCTAGAAGCTAACACGGGCTAGTTCATGCTAGAAGCTAACACGGGCTAGTTCATGCTAGAAGCTAACACGGGCTTGTTCATGCTAAAACCGCTGTTACATCATGACGACTTAGAAAACGTACGCCGACGTGTGAACAATTTGACAAATACACTGGCGTACGTCGGATAAATTCTAGGTAAGTATTGTATAAGTTAGAAGCCCGCCGAAGCCCGCCGAAGCCCGCCGAAGCCCGCCGAAGCCCGCCGAAGCCCGCCGAAGCCGAAGCACGCCGAAGCACGCCGAAGCACGCCGAAGCACGCCGAAGCACGCCGAAGCACGCCGAAGCACGCCGAAGCACGCCGAAGCACGCCGAAGCACGCCGAAGCACTGGCATACCGCGTCATACGGCAAGGTCGTCGAAAAAATTTTGAGCATGCTGAAAATTTCTCGACGTATGTCAGCGTATGTTTCTACGTCCTTCATACGCGGGCTGTAAGTTGTAGGTAAGTTATGTAATTGTTGACACTGTTAAATGTAAGTTTCTCATAAGTCCAAACTAGGGATGGGCATGATTAGTCGTTTAATCGATAATTGATCATTAAGAATTTCATTGATTACGTTCATTTTAATCGTCAAACCGAATGTATGTTTGTGTGTCGTGACCAAACAGGTGTGTACATGTGTCTCTGCATCAGAAGGAGCGAGACACAAACAGTGGGTCAGTCTGTAACGAACCGAAGCACAAATGTGGATTTAACCAGGATTTGTAGAAGAAATTCCACACTTTCCGTTGCGTTGGGACAAGTGTGAGTCCATGTGCACAGTGGATAAAGCAGCACATATGTTTCTGTGTCCAGTGGGAAAAAGTTTTTCCAGGTGAGAGTCGCTCAATGTGGATGACGAGGCCCCGCCCCCCTCCCCCCGTACGCTGTCCTGGTTTTGACAAACACAAATCTGGTCACACTGACCTGTATTCACCTGAGTCATGTCTTTTAATCCAACACAAGTTGAACCACATCAGCGACACAAGAGCTGGAGTTTTATCTTCACTTAGTTTATGTAAATTAGTGATGTGGTTTTAAGTTTTGTTTCTGTGAAAGTTGCGCAAAACTGAATTAAACACATTATAATAAATGGGCTGATGTGGCTCTAGAGTCGTTACGGTTTATTTGTCGTAAAGTTGAATTTATTTATGCAGATTAGTGCAGATAGTAATAATAATGATGATCATTTTAATATAAAAACGTTAATGATTAATCGATAATCGATCGTTAATTCTCTCGACGATCGATTAAAAAAATTTCATCGAATGCCCGTCCCTAGTTTGAAGGACAAAACATGAAATAATGCACAACTAGGGCTGGGCGATATGGATCAAAAAATATATCTCGATATATTTTGCTGTATCTCGATATACGATATATATCTCTATCTGTACAGGAAAAAATAACCCCCTAAAACTGAAAACTGCAAAAACAAATCTGCCAAATTCCACAAGGTCTGTGTTTTTTTTTAAAAATTTTTTTTTTAAATTAAAGTCTAAGAGGTCGGCAGTTCATATAGGAATATTTAAGATTACAAAAACCCTAATTACATAATAATTTAACTGTAAAATAAAAGAAATAATGCATATTTCCTTCTTTTCATTCATAAATAAAACAACTCAACACAAGCTCATCTTTGCATTAACTCTGTTCATCCAAACCATAACCAGAACCATGAGCTCCTTCAGCAGAAGCTCAGGATGTTCCTTATTTTAACAGATCCATGTTCCTCATCAGCAGTAAGAAGCTCTGAGGTTTAATCCCACAATCCACTGCAGATCAAACCCAACGTTTCCAAACACCATTGTACAAGTGACACTGCAGCAGATTATTCATTAAAATCTTCTGCATAAATAGAATTTACATGACTAAACTTTACAATATATAAAGCATAACGACTCTAGATCCACATCAGCTGTTTGAGATAATCATGTGTTTAATACAGAATTGAATATAAACATTATATCGATATATACCAGGGGTGTTCACACTATTTCAGCATGCGAGCCACTTACAAAATGACCAAGTCAAAATGATCTTCCTAATACAAAGCCAACCAAACTGCACTGAAACACTCTGTGCCCCTTTTTTGGACCTCCCCCACAGTTTGAGAACCTCTTCTTTAAGAGAACTTCCTCTGGCACTTTACACTAAACTGTGAAAAAAGTGAAGGAAGATTTTTAAACCTGTTTTTTAAAGTTCCAAACTGGAGTTACATTCTTTTCTGGTTTTGCAGTGATATTTACCAGCCTCTGCACGTTTACCAAACCAAACGCACATCGTGACAAACACAGATGCATTTGTCACTTTTGTTAGACAAACTTCAGCCAAATGTGGCAGTAGGTCTGTTCTGTAGATCCGCTCTATGCTGTAGACCTGCTTTGTGCCAACACTGGAACACAAATTTAGACTGGTTTTTGCTTCACGTTTGGTCTTGTTTCTTCTAATCAGCCGCACTGTGGGAGGGGCTTGTGTTGGCTGTACGCAGGAAGGAGCGAGAGCGTGAAAAGGCGAGGGGCGGCGTGCTGACGTGAGGCAGATGGACAGGTAGGATGTTTAGGAAGTTGAACCTGCCCTGTGATGCACGCTGGTACACGAGGGCACACGCTGTCGCAGACGAGCCGTGCATAGGGAGCGTGTGTGTTTGTGATGCGCCGTAGAGTCTCCGCGGGTTTCAAATGAGCGCACAGGCTGCACTGAGACGCCCCACACGCTCCTGCACCCGCTACAAGTTTATTACCAACAGCAGCGACCGTAACGAAATATGATCGCACTTGTTGAGTGTCAAGACCTCGAGTGAGAGACAAGACCGAGTCCGAGACGAGACACGACAATCTACACACACCACCTTGGCGATCGACTGGTAGATCACGATCGATGTATTGAGCACCCCTGATATATACGATATGTCAGAATTCATATAGAGTTTAAAAAATATATCGATATATTTAAAATATCAAGATATCGCCCACGCCTGTGCACAACATTTGGTATTTTCAAAGGACAGACACAAAAATGACTAAAACTGAATCACCCATAATTGAATAAATGCGAGGTGTGAGTTTAATGTCTGATCTCTTCATGTAGGAAAAAAAAGTGGTGAACTCCTGGAAAGTTGCCTCGTGCACCAGTATTTGTTCAGTGTATTTGTTCACCCACCAGAGGGCGCCAAAGTAAAACAGATCAATAATATGATTATTTAGGTCTTTTGAGGCATGCAAGTTAGTATAAAATAATATGCATTTTTTTTAAAATATTTAAACTATTTAAAGCATGCAGTGTTTTTTCTACACTCTTCTTTTATCAGTTAAGTGCCAAGTGTCTTCTTTCTGTGTGTGTTTCTAGTGGGACAGAGTTGGGGGAGGGACGTCCTGTCTTTGTCTGTACAGAATGAATAAAATGAAGTTTGTGTTTATCGGGTCGTTTCTGAAGCTGCTCGCTCCACACTCTTCACTCTGAACTCTTGGATTGTCTGTTCTGATGTAGAACCGAAAGCAACTGTGACTTTTAAACACTTTTAACACACGGATAACCCCAACAGGAAGTAGCCTTAGCAACAGCACACGGGCCAGCAAAGCATCATGGGTAATGCTCTGCTGCTCACATTTCTAAATCATTTCTAAAACATCCACACGGAGAGTGTTTGTGTTATCGAGTCGTACAGAGGAGAAGCTCTGTTGCCCTGTAGTGTGTGTGTAGTGTGTATAGGGGTGTGCAAGAATATTGGAATATCGATATATTGTATTGTTTAATGTGATGATACAGTATCGATATCGTGGGCTACTGTATCGATATTTCACCAAGAGTATTTTACGTGTGATTTACTAAATTATTTTGTTACAGCTACAGTTTTGTTGCTTGTGGAGTGAAAGGAAACTCATTTATGCAACACATTTGACATTTTTACTGTTTTGAGGATTAAAACGTGTTTCATATGACCTTTGCACAAGAAGTGGTTTAACAAACACTTTAGTATCACAGCCACGATTTAGCCTTTTAGCCTGGCTCCGGAGCCACGGGTTGCCGACCCCTGTTTTAGACAATATATTGAATATAGAACGTTAGTAGAGGATCTAGTGCTGCTCTCTGCTCCAGAGTTTGTGTTCAGTAGTGAGTGTGTAAACTGCTGCTTTAGAACTTATTGTTGTTGAACCTCTTGAGACGCTGCGTCCTCATATGAGGACATTACAGTTTTGCCTCTTAGCACCATGATACTCCATTTTTTTTAAAAACTTTTGACTTGTTAGCCACACTGAAGGACTCTGCCTGCAGCGTTTTCTGGTCATACACAACATCACATTACACTCATTTCAGTGAAAGAAAAATGGTGAGAATATCAACAAAAAGCTGCTACAAGCAAGGTAAAGTTTATATCCAAACTTTATTAATGAAACCAATGTATTTATGCACATTTCTCTGTCCTCATATGGTGTTCAAATTTGACACATTTTAGTGATCAGAGCAACAAAGAGCATCAGTAAATGTCATGTCCTTGTTTGAGGACATTGGGACTATGTCATTTGATTGTACCGTGTTGTTAGCTGAACTTGAATGAGTTTACTAGTGTTGTAGTCAAGATCGCACAGAGGTCGTTCTTTGCATTTTCTTTGTTGGACACAATATTTGTCTATAATGGATCTAAGGACATGTCAGGACACACTACTGTAGTCGTCTAATGTGTTGAACATGTTGTTACCTCAGTGTTGATAAACCACTTTTGGTTTTTTTGGGGGGGAGAGTCCAGAACAAACTCCACTATATGAGCTGTAGTGAAGGACATTTAAAACAGCCCTTATTTTTACACTTGATGATGTTTGACAGTGGACTGTGGCTGACTGACTTCAAATGGGCCCATCAGTGTGAAAATGAGAATAAGAATGTAGTTCCTGTTGGTGGGTTTTTGCATGTGTAATAACAATCCTTTGCCACCAGATGGCACCATAAAGAGTTCTGAATGAAAACCAGTTCAAATGTTCATGTTTTTAGTGTGATCTTATAAAATATCTCTAACTATACTAATACATTAGACCATATTACATACATGTTTATTACATACATGTATGTAAATAGACATGTAGTGTTGTTGCTGTAGTTCGCACATGGGGGCAGGATTCATGATGGTTGTTTCCAGTGGGACAGACTTGGGGGAGGGACTTCCTGTCTTTGTCTGCTCTTACAGAAATGAATAAAATGAAGTTTGTGTTACTCGGGTCGTTTCTGAAGCTGCTCGCTCCACACTCTTCACTCTGAACTCTTGGATTGTCTGTTCTGATGTAGAACCGAAAGCAACTGTGACTTTTAAACACTTTTAACACACGGATAACCCCAACAGGAAGTAGCCTTAGCAACAGCACACGGGCCAGCAAAGCATCATGGGTAATGCTCTGCTGCTCACATTTCTAAAGCATTTATAAAATAACGTCCACATTGAGAGTGTTTGTGTTGTCGAGTCGTACAGAGAAGCTCTGTTGCCCTGTAGTGTTTGTTTGTAGTGGACTGAACTGTATTTGTGCTTTAATGACCTGAACTGTATCTCGCTCCTCTCTCCTTTCTGTTTCTCTCTCTGCTCTGTCAGTCGTTTCAGGCTCTGTGGGTCTGATCTGGGGACAGTGGGGAGTTTGTTTTCTACTTCCTCTGTGCTGAATGTTTTAATCCCAAAAGTGCACAAACAAAACCTGACCAGATCAATAATGTATAGTGATATATATATAGTAGTTATGTTTGATAAGCTGTAAAGTTTAGTTTATTTGAGATTTTAAAGAATCATCTGCTGCAGTGTATAACTTTTATAGTATTTTGAAAGTTTGAGTTTGATCTGAGCAGTGGATTGTCTCTCTTGGATGTGTCCTAACTCCGTACTGCTGGCCTATGCAAAAGGAGATATGAAGAGAAACATAATGTCTCCCTTTCCTTCCTCCTTCTTAACTTCACTAATCGGTTTCTGATGGTCCTTGTCGTGGCTGACACTGATACACGTTGGGGTCAATAATAAGGAAAGGGTCTTCCCAGGCAAATTTAACCCAGTTTGAGCTTCTGATGCTTTTCCACTCCTCTTGGCTTCTTTTGTCTCTATGTAAAACTTGAATCTTAGAAATTTCAAAATGAGGAACGCTTCACGAATTTGCGTGTCATCCTTGCGCAGGGGCCATGCTAATCTTCTCTGTATCGTTCCAATTTTAGTATATGTGTTAGCGAACTAACACAACAACGAACGGTTTCCGAGTCGTTTATAAAGGGCTAAACACGCTATGCTAGCTCACTTATGGTTGTGTCGTAAAGCAAAGCACTTCCAGTCAGAGCGTCAGAGCACGCCCTCTGCTCACTGCGTCACTCTCTGTCTGTGCTGAACGACGGGGGAAGGGCAGACATGGCCGTTAGCCACGGACTGCACCATCCCCCGCGGGGAAGTAGCTGAAACTGTAGAGCTCACTTAGCATGTGAGAGGAAGCCAGAGGCAGCGCTGCCACCTACGGCCCCCAAACATCAGGGGATCCCCAACCAGTTACCCTCAGGGCCACTAATAACCGAGGCCTCAGTGCACTTAGGTTTTTTTCTGTATGTGACATTAAATGAGTTGTTTACATAGTTGGTTAGTTTCTGTGTTTATAAAATGGACATATCAGACTATTAAAGGATTCCAAGTTAACTCATTCTTGCTCGTTGGAGTGTTCTGAGCATTTCTGTGAGCTGAAGTAGGCAAAACATCTGTTTACTTTTCTAGCTTTATTTTCACTTAACACAGGTGTACTTAGCAAGTTTTCTATGTCTATGACAGATGAAATAGTATTGTTCCTTAAAAATTGTCTAGGGGGCGCTATTGCACCCATTTTTGTATTTTCTTACATCATTCTGTTCAGGATCGGGGTGTGAACCATTCATTAAAATTTGAGTGAAATCGGCCAAAGTTTGTGCAAAATGCTAGGGGGCGCTATTGCACCCATTTTTGTATTTTCTTGCATTAATCTGTTCAGAATCGGGGTGTGAACCCGTCGTTAAAATTTGGGTGAAATCGGTCAATGTTACTCGACTTCACCATTAGAATAACATGGAGAGTTATGGCAGTGCTGCCCCCATCCATCCATTTTCTTTCACTTATCCGGGGTCGGGTCGCAGGGGGCATCAGTCTAAACAGGGACTCCTAGACTTCCTTCACCCCAGACACTTCCTCCAGCTCCTCCAGTGGGACCCTGAGGTAGGGCTGGGCGATATGGATCAAAAAATATATCTCGATATATTTTGCTATATCTCGATATACGATATATATCTCGATATATGTTCAAGAAAAAATAACCCCCTAAAACTGAAAACTGCAAAAACAAATCTGCCAAATTCCACAAGGTCTTTTTTTTATTTTTATTGAAGTGTAAGAGGTAGGCAGTTCATATAGGAACATTTAAGATTACAAAAAATAATAATTTAACTGTAAAATAAAAGAAATAATACATATTTCCTTCTTTTCATTCATAAATAAAACAACTCAACACAAGCTCATCTTTGCATTAACTCTGTTATCCAAACCAGAACCATGAGCTCATTTAGCAGAAGAAGCTCAGGATGTTCCTTATTTCAATAGATCCATGTTATTATCCAGCAGTAAGGAGCTCTGAGGTTTAATCCCACAATCCACTGCAGATCAAACTGATCGTTTCCAAACACTATTGTACAAGTGACACTGCAGCAGATTATTAATTAAAATATTCTGCATAAATAAACTTTACATTGCTAAACTTTACAATATATAAAACATAACGACTCTAGAGGCACATCAGCCCGTTTGCGATAATAATGTGTTTAATGCAGTTTTGCGCACGTGTGTTTACATTTTACAGAAACGAAACTTAAGCGCATGGCTCATTTGCATAAACAGCACTTCTCATGCAGCTCAACTCGTTCAGCTTCTTTCGGGCGAAAGGACGCGACTTGGTGGAATATGAGGATGTGCTGCTGGTGGTTTTGTCTGGAAATGGTGGAAAAGGTTCGTGGTGCTTGAAGCTTTTCACTGGCACCAACTTTCGGCGTTCACGGCGGTAGTGACGAGTGAAGGAGACACGAGCGAACAAACTCAGGGAGGCGGAGGCGCGCGGAGGCGACGAGAGAGAAGATAAACAAGCGAAGCGGCAAAATCAAAATTGAATCTAAGCATTATATCGATATATACGATATGTCAGATTCATATCGAGTTTAAAAACTATCTCGATATATTTAAAATATCGATATATCGCCCACCCCTACCCTGAGGTGTTCCCAGGCCAGTCCAGAGACATCGTCCCTCCAGTGTTTCCTGGGTCTTCCCCGGAGCCTCCTCCCGGTGGGACATGAAGGCAAGTTTATTTGTACAGCACAATTCGTACACAAAGTAATTCAAAGTGCTTTACAGAATAATAAATACATTAAAATCATAATAAAAACAAATCAAAACATAAATAATCATGAAGATTAAAATTAAAAAAGAAAGACATAAATTGGAGAGAAGAGTGCGGAATGAAAACCTTTCAGTTATTTGCACAGTTAAACAGAAATGTTTTGAGCCTGGATTTAAACAGCGTCACAGAAGAGTCTGTCTCACATGTTCAGGAAGACTGTAGAGCTTCCCCCCAGGCCTGGCTCCAGGGTGGGGCCCGGTAACGCCAATCCAGGTGACGTAACTGGCCTCTGTGTGGGCATCATCATATGAGCGTGTGTAGTGTAGTGTATGTGTAGTGTGTGTGTTGTGTGTAGGACAAGGAGGTAGGTCGTGTTTGGACTGAGGACAGTATGTCTCTGCTTGACCCTGTGTGTTTGTCTCTGTTCTTCTCATACTTACCTGGCAGAGGAGACTCCATGATCATGAAGGTGGTTCACCCAGGGCGAGGCTCGGCCTTTGCACTCCGGCTGTGCTGACCCCTTCCCCAAATGAAGAGAATGTAGAGTCTCATTAGTGCGACGGGAGCGGTATTTGGATTTAATAAAGTTCACACTTGAAAAGTTGCTCGCATAAGTATGTTGAGCCAAAGATGGACTCTAAATGCACACCTTTTCATGTTAATGTAGGTGTCAGGAATGGCACTCCATGTTACAAAATAAGTTTGTCGGGTCGGGGTAGTTTTTCAATATCCACTCCATTTGTGCTCTTTAGCGAGCGTAGCCCTCCGACGGTCGACTTCAAGATTCGCTGACAAGGATTTGAACTTGTTAACCCACACATCTTTATCCGCTCTGTCAGCCAGTTCGATTTCTAGATCAGGCTTACTTACTCCTGTGAATGCAGATGTGTTTAGCAGAGATGGGTCGCTGTCTAGCAGTCTGACAGGAAAAGAAAGAGTCTGTTTCTCCTTTCTGAATTCACTGAATCTTTCTCCAAATGCTGCTTGCATTGCAATAATGGCTCGGTGAAAATAATCACAATTTATGTGATTGTTGGCTTCTTTGAACTCTCTTAGGGAGGGGAAGTGAGAGAGTGTGCTTTTCTGGACATCTCTGGCGAACACTCTCATCTTGCGCTCAAATGACAAAACCTCCTCCAGCATCTGCAGGGCCGTGCTTCCCTTTCCTTGGAGATTTTTATTCAGCATGTTCAAGTGACTTGTCATATCCACCATAAAGTAAAACTTTTCCAGCCAATCTAGGTCTTCCAGTTCAGGATAGTTGAGGCCTTTGTTTCCCAAGAAGGTTTTCACGTGCTCCAGACAGGCAGCAAAGCGTTTCAGCACCTCTCCCCTGGAAAGCCACCGGACTCTGTTGTGCAGCAGGAGATTTGAGTATGCGTTTTCGACTTCTTCTAATAATGAACAAAACTGTCGGTGGCTTAACCCGTTCGCAATTATTTTGTTCACTATCTTGATAACGAGGTTCATTACTTCCACACATTCAGGCGGAAAGGTTTGCGTGCAAAGCGCTTCTTGGTGGATAATGCAGTGAACCGTCATCAGATCTCGGCCCAATGACTTTTGAAATAAATTCACAAAGCCCTTCTGTGCTCCTCTCATACTGGGCACTCCGTCAGTAGACACTAACACTAGGTGAGTGGTGTTTATTCCTTTATCTTTTAGACAACTCACAACAGCCTCACAGATGTACTGCCCCTGCATTTGGCCCTTTAGTGGTATGAGTTCAATCAGCTCTTCCTGCAACCCATCAGAGTTGACATACCTGCATAATAGAGCTGTCTGCGCAACATCGTTTACATCAGTTGACTCATCACAGGCAATTGAGAATGCTTGAGCTGAATTAATGTCATCAATTTGTTTACTGCTGATGTTTGTTGCCATTTTTATGGTCCTGTCTTTAACTGTCTTGGCAGAGAGAGGCATTTCTTTAATTTTCTGGACAATCTCCTGTTTGTTTTTAAAGTCGGAGAATAGATGCTCTGATATTTTAATAAACGTTTCTTTTATGTATTCTCCGTCTGTGAACGGCTTCCCGTTCTTTACTGTCTCCTGAGCTGCCAAAAAACTAGCAGCTGTAGTTGACTGTGGAGAGCTGATCCATTTTCTGAAAGATATTTTTCTCTTCAGCTTGTCGTTGCAGTTCCGAAATGGCTCTTTCGCTCATCTTCGGTTGGGTATTTTTCAGCGAATGCTAAGTGCTTGTTTTGAAAATGTCTTTTGACATTAGATTTTTTGTTGTTTGACAGTTTCTCACTACATATAAGACACACAGGTCATCCAGCGTTGTTGGAGGTGAAGGCAAACGCAGATGTCCACGCTGAATTAAACTATTTTCTTCTGATACTTTTATTTTTTTGGGCTCTTTTCATGGTTACGGTACTCGGGTCTTCCATAAACAGGTAGCTAGCAACTAAAGTCGAAGGCTGTTGACGTCACATGTATTTTTACTGACAAATTATAAATTAAACTCCAAGGTAATCGTGAAATAAAATGAACGTATAGTGACGATGATAAATAACAAATAAAGATATAACCTTTATTGATTTGTGTTTTTTTGTCATGGCCATCGGGAGCCACTACAAGGAGGCTGAAGAGCCGCATGCGGCTCCGGAGCCACGGGTTGCCGACCCGTTTTAGACGACATATTGAATATAGAACGTTAGTAGAGGATCTAGTGCTGCTCTCTGCTCCAGAGTTTGTGTTCAGTAGTGAGTGTGTAAACTGCTGCTTTAGAACTTATTGTTGTTGAACCTCTTGAGACGCTGCGTCCTCATATGAGGACATTACAGTTTTGCCTCTTAGCACCATGATACTCCATTTTTTTAAAAACTTTGACTTGTTAGCCACACTGAAGGACTCTGCCTGCAGCGTTTTCTGGTCATACACAACATCACATTACACTCATTTCAGTGAAAGAAAAATGGTGGGAATATCAACAAAAAGCTGCTACAAGCAAGGTAAAGTTTATATCCAAACTTTATTAATGAAACCAATGTATTTATGCACATTTCTCTGTCCTCATATGGTGTTCAAATTTGACACATTTTAGTGATCAGAGCAAACAAGAGCATCAGTAAATGTCATGTCCTTGTTTGAGGACATTGGGACTATGTCATTGATTGTACCGTGTTGTTAGCTGAACTTGAATGAGTTTACTAGTGTTGTAGTCAAGATCGCACAGAGGTCGTTCTTTGCATTTTCTTTGTTAGACACAATATTTGTCTATAATGGATCTAAGGACATGTCAGGACACACTACTGTAGTCGTCTAATGTGTTACCTCAGTGTTGATAAACCACTTTTTTTGGGGGGGAGAGTCCAGAACAAACTCCACTATATGAGCTGTAGTGAAGGACATTTAAAACAGCCCTGATTTTTACACTTGATGATGTTTGACAGTGGACTGTGGCTGACTGACTTCAAATGGGCCCATCAGTGTGAAAATGAGAATAAGAATGTAGTTCCTGTTGGTGGGTTTTTGCATGTGTAATAACAATCCTTTGCCACCAGATGGCACCATAAAGAGTTCTGAATGAAAACCAGTTCAAATGTTCATGTTTTTAGTGTGATCTTATAAAATATCTCTAACTATACTAATACATTAGACCATATTACATACATGTTTATTACATACATGTATGTAAATAGACATGTAGTGTTGTTGCTGTAGTTCGCACATGGGGGCAGGATTCATGATGGTTGTTTCCAGTGGGACAGAGTTGGGGGAGGGACTTCCTGTCTTTGTCTGCTCTTACAGAATGAATAAAGTGAAGTTTGTGTTACTCGGGTCGTTTCTGAAGCTGCTCGCTCCACACTCTTCACTCTGAACTCTTGGATTGTCTGTTCTGATGTAGAACCGAAAGCAACTGTGACTTTTAAACACTTTTAACACACGGATAACCCCAACAGGAAGTAGCCTTAGCAACAGCACACGGGCCAGCAAAGCATCATGGGTAATGCTCTGCTGCTCACATTTCTAAAAGCATTTATAAAAATAACGTCCACATTGAGAGTGTTTGTGTTGTCGAGTCGTACAGAGGAGAAGCTCTGTTGCCCTGTAGTGTTTGTTTGTAGTGGACTGAACTGTATTTGTGCTTTAATGACCTGAACTGTATCTCGCTCCTCTCTCCTTTCTGTTTCTCTCTCTGCTCTGTCAGTCGTTTCAGGCTCTGTGGGTCTGATCTGGGGACAGTGGGGAGTTTTGTTTTCTACTTCCTTCTGTGCTGAATGTTTTAATCCCAAAAGTGCACAAACAAAACCTGACCAGATCAAGTAATGTATAGTGATATATATAGTAGTTATGTTTGATAAGCTGTAAAGTTTAGTTTATTTGAGATTTTAAAGAATCATCTGCTGCAGTGTATAACTTTTATAGTATTTTGAAAGTTTGAGTTTGATCTGAGCAGTGGATTGTCTCTCTTGGATGTGTCCTAACTCCGTACTGCTGGCCTATGCAAAAGGAGATATGAAAGAAAACATAATGTCTCCTTTCCTTCCTCCTTCTTAACTTCACTAATCGGTTCTGATGGTCCTTGTCGTGGCTGACACTGATACACGTTGGGGTCAATAATAAGGAAAGGGTCTTCCCAGGCAAATTTAACCCAGTTTGAGCTTCTGATGCTTTTCCACTCCTCTTGGCTTCTTTTGTCTCTATGTAAAACTTGAATCTTAGAAATTTCAAAATGAGGAACGCTTCACGAATTTGCGTGTCATCCTTGCGCAGGGGCCATGCTAATCTTCTCTGTATCGTTCCAATTTTAGTATATGTGTTAGCGAACTAACACAACAACGAACGGTTTCCGAGTCGTTTATAAAGGGCTAAACACGCTATGCTAGCTCACTTATGGTTGTGTCGTAAAGCAAAGCACTTCCAGTCAGAGCGTCAGAGCACGCCCTCTGCTCACTGCGTCACTCTCTGTCTGTGCTGAACGACGGGGGAAGGGCAGACATGGCCGTTAGCCACAGACTGCACCATCCCCCGCGGGGAAGTAGCTGAAACTGTAGAGCTCACTTAGCATGTGAGAGGAAGCCAGAGGCAGCGCTGCCACCTACGGCCCCCAAACATCAGGGGATCCCCACCCGTTACCCTCAGGGCCACTAATAACCGAGGCCTCAGTGCACTTAGGTTTTTTTCTGTATGTGACATTAAATGAGTTGTTTACATAGTTGGTTAGTTTCTGTGTTTATAAAATGGACATATCAGACTATTAAAGGATTCCAAGTTAACTCATTCTTGCTCGTTGGAGTGTTCTGAGCATTTCTGTGAGCTGAAGTAGGTAAAATATAAAGTTTACTTTTCTAGCTTTATTTTCACTTAACACAGGTGTACTTAGCAAGTTTTCTATGTCTATGACAGATGAAATAGTATTGTTCCTTAAAAATTGTCTAGGGGGCGCTATTGCACCCAGATCCATAAAACACATGTGGACTGGTTGGGCAAACTCCCATGAACCCTCGAGCACCCGATGGAGAGTGTAGAGCTGGTCCAGTGTTCCACGACCAGGACGAAAACCACACTGCTCCTCCTGAATTCGAGGTTCGACTATCGTCCGGATTCTCCTCTCCAGTACTCGGGAATAGACCGAGAAGGCTGAGGAGTGTGATCCCCCTATAGTTGGAACACACCCTCCAGTCCCCCTTCTTTAACAGAGGGACCACCACCCCGGTTTGCCAGTCCAGAGGTACTGTCCCCGACCGCCACGCGATGTTGAAGAGGCGTGTCAGCCAAGACAGCCCCACAACATCCAGAGAGTTAAGGTACTCAGGACGGATCTGATCGTTGGAGTGTTCTGAGCATTTCTGTGTGCTGAAGTAGGCAAAAGATCTGTTTACTTTACTTTTCTAGCTTTATTTTCACTTAACACAGGTGTACTTAGCAAGTTTTCTATGTCTATGACAGATGAAATAGTATTGTTCCTTAAAAATTGTCTAGGGGGCGCTATTGCACCCATTTTTGTATTTTCTTACATCATTCTGTTCGGGGTCTGAGTGTGCACCTACTATTAAAATTTGAGTGAAATTGGCCAAAGTTTGTGCAAAAGGCTAGGGGGCGCTATTGCACCCATTTTTGTATTTTCTTGCATTAATCTGTTCAGAATCGGGGTGTGAACCCGTCGTTAAAATTTGGGTGAAATCGGTCAATGTTACTCGACTTCACCATTAGAATAACATGGAGAGTTATGGCAGTGCTGCCCCCATCCATTTTCTTTCACTTATCCGGGGTCGGGTCGCAGGGGGCATCAGTCTAAACAGGGACTCCTAGACTTCCTTCACCCCAGACACTTCCTCCAGCTCCTCCAGTGGGACCCTAAGGTTTTCCCAGGCCAGTCCAGAGACAGTCCCTCCAGTGTTTCCTGGGTCTTCCCCGGAGCCTCCTCCCGGTGGGACATGAACACCTCCTGAGGGAGACGCCCAGGAGACATCAGAACAGATGCCCGAACCACCTCAGCTGGCTCCTCTCGACGTGGAGGAGCAGCGGCTCTACTCCGAGCTCCTCCCGTGTGACTGAGCTCCTCACCCTATCTTTAAGGGAGCGCCCAGACACCCTGCGAAGGAAACTCATTTCGAGCGCCTGTATCCACGATCTTGTCCTTTCGGTCATTACCCAGAGCTCATGACCAGAGGTGAGAGTAGGAACGAAGACTGACAGTAAATCGAGAGCTTCACCTTTCAACTCAGCTCCTGCTTCACCACAACGTCCGATACAGCGACCGCATCACTGCAGACGCTGCACAGATCCACCTGTCAATCTCACGCTCCATCCTCCCCTCACTCGAGAACAAGACCCCAAGATACTTGAACTCCTCCACTTGAGGCAGGGACTCTCCACCCGCCCGGAGAGGGCAAGACGCCTTTTTCCTGGTCGAGAACCATGGCCTTGGACTTGGAAGAGCTGATCTTCATCCCAGCCTCTTCACACTCGGCTGCAAACCGCCCCAGTGCACATTGCAGGTCCTGGTTCGATGGAGCCAACAAGACAACATCATCTGCGAACAGCAGAGATGAAATCCTGTGGTCCCCAAACCGGACCCCCTCCGGCCCCTCACTGTGCCTAGAAATTCTGTCCATAAACACAATGAACAGAACCGGTGACAAAGGGCAGCCCTGGAGGAGTCCAACATGCACCGGGAACAGGTCTGACTTACTGCCGGCAATGAACACAGCTCCTGCTCCGGTCATACAGGGACCGGACAGCCCTTAGCAAAGGGCCCCGAACCCCATACTCCCAGAGCACCCCCCACAGGACACCACGAGGGACACGGTCGAATGCCTTCTCCAAGTCCACAAAACACATGTGGACTGGTTGGGCAAACTCCCATGAACCCTCGAGCACCGATGGAGAGTGTAGAGCTGGTCCAGTGTTCCACAGCCAGGACGAAAACCACACTGCTCCTCCTGAATCCGAGGTTCGACTATCGGCCGGATTCTGTGCATAGACCTTACCGGGAAGGCTGAGGAGTGTGATCCCCCTATAGTTGGAACACACCCTCCGGTCCCCCTTCTTTAACAGAGGGACCACCACCCCGGTTTGCCAGTCCAGAGGTACTGTCCCCGACCGCCACGCGATGTTGAAGAGGCGTGTCAACCAAGACAGCCCCACAACATCCAGAGACTTAAGGTACTCAGGACGGATCTGATCCCTCCTCCTTCAGCCTGACGGCATCCCTTACTTCCGGTGTCCTCCACCGGGAATTCAGAACAAACTCCACTATATGAGCTGTAGTGAAGGACATTTAAAACAGCCCTTATTTTTACACTTGATGATGTTTGACAGTGGACTGTGGCTGACTGACTTCAAATGGGCCCATCAGTGTGAAAATGAGAATAAAAATGTAGTTCCTGTTGGTGGGTTTTTGCATGTGCAATAACAATCCTTTACCACCAGATGGCACCATAAAGAGTTGTGAATGAAAACCAGTTCAAATGTTCATGTTTTTAATGTGATCTTATAAAATATTTCTAACTATACTAATACATTAGACCATATTACATACATGTTTATTACATACATGTATGTAAATAGACATGTAGTGTTGTTGCTGTAGTTCGCACATGGGGGCAGGATTCATGATGGTTGTTTCCAGTGGGACAGAGTTGGGGGAGGGACTTCCTGTCTTTGTCTGCTCTTACAAAATGAATAAAGTGAAGTTTGTGTTTCTCGGGTCGTTTCTGAAGCTGCTCGCTCCACACTCTTCACTCTGAACTCTTGGATTGTCTGTTCTGATGTAGAACCGAAAGCAACTGTGACTTTTAAACACTTTTAACACACGGATAACCCCAACAGGAAGTAGCCTTAGCAACAGCACACGGGCCAGCAAAGCATCATGGGTAATGCTCTGCTGCTCACATTTCTAAAGCATTTATAAAATAACGTCCACATTGAGAGTGTTTGTGTTGTCGAGTCGTACAGAGGAGAAGCTCTGTTGCCCTGTAGTGTGTGTTTGTAGTGGACTGAACTGTATTTGTGCTTTAATGACCTGAACTGTATCTCGCTCCTCTCTCCTTTCTGTTTCTCTCTGCTCTGTCAGTCGTTTCAGGCTCTGGGGGTCTGATCTGGGGACAGTGGGGAGTTTGTTTTCTACTTCTTCTGTGCTGAATGTTTTAATCCCAAAAGTGCACAAACAAAACCTGACCAGATCAATAATGTATAGTGATATATATAGTAGTTATGTTTGATAAGCTGTAAAGTTTAGTTTATTTGAGATTTTAAAGAATCATCTGCTGCAGTGTATAACTTTTATAGTATTTTGAAACTTTGAGTTTGATCTGAGCAGTGGATTGTCTCTCTTGGATGTGTCCTAACTCCGTACTGCTGGCCTATGCAAAAGGAGATATGAAAGAAAACATAATGTCTCCTTTCCTTCCTCCTTCTTAACTTCACTAATCGGTTCTGATGGTCCTTGTCGTGGCTGACACTGATGCACATTGGGGTCAATAATAAGGAAAGGGTCTTCCCAGGCAAATTTAACCCAGTTTGAGCTTCTGATGCTTTTCCACTCCTCTTGGCTTCTTTTGTCTCTATGTAAAACTTGAATCTTAGAAATTTCAAAATGAGGAACGCTTCACGAATTTGCGTGTCATCCTTGCGCTATCTGCAGGGGAATCGTCTCTGTATATCGACCAATGGTAGCACGGCATTCTTGATGTCGTCATCAACAGCTTCCAATGAGACCGCGAGTTGTTCATGACGACATCAAGAACGACTACCAATGAAATGAGCGCGACAGCCTTAGTTGCCGCTGTCTCATTTGCATCGGGAGATTTACCGGAGGCCAGGTAAATTGTAACGATCGGGTAACACGTACAACAGTCACAAATATTTATTTCGCATCATAACTTATAATATCGCACGGCGATAAACTGTTTTAGCGCGTTCAGAACAGCGCTAGCGAGTGGTGCTACTTTATGCTAACCACGCAGTTAGCGGCGCTGCAGTCGGGCCGCGACCAAAACTGGCTCTTGCTATTGGTATTTCTTGGGGCTCCTTAATTTATGAGAATCTGTATGGACACTACGTTATGTCCATCAACTGTGTGCTAATCACGCGGTTAGCGGCGCTGCAGTCGGGCCGCGACCGGGCCGCTCGCACGCAGACAGACGCAGACAGACGCAGACAGACGCAGACAGACGCAGGACAGACGCGCAGACAGACAGACGCAGACAGACGCAGACAGACGCAGACACACGCAGACACACGCAGACACACGCAGACACACGCAGACACACGCAGACACACGCAGACACACAAACAAAAAGTTTTTAATGAGCCTCACTGTGTTCTGCCTACAGGTCCAGTAATACAAGTACAGCTGCTGCTGTTTACTACTACTACTACTACTACTACTACTACCACCACTACAGCTGCTGTTACTACTACTTCTACTACAACTGCTGCTATTAAAGTAAGTACTTCAACCTCCAGTCCAGCATATCTTAATATTGCATTTGTGTGTCATTTTATACATTTTATATCTTTGTAGATGGAGCATCCTAATTTCAGGCGGCTGCCCGCTAAAAAGAAGCAGCAGCAGCAGGAGCAACAGCAGCCGCTGCAGCTCATCGTGGGGCCCTCGGCTGCTGCCAAGCAGCTCATGGAGGCTGCAGCTGCTGCCATGGCCGGCAGGGACCCCGTGAGCGTGGCCAGAGCCAAGAGGCCGGAGGAGGTGGAGAAGGAGGCGCAGGCCCACGTCATCTCCGAGGGTGGAGACCCTGGGAACCCCACTCTGGTGCTGAGCCGTCACAGCATCCAGTTTGGTCAGTACCAGGGTCAAACCTTCCACTGGCTGCTGGAGAATGACGTGGGCTATGTCATCCAGCTGGTGGACAAGCACCAGCGGGAGCAGGAGAGGAGCGTGTCCATCAGCCCCCTCATGGCCAACAAGGATGCGCTCGCCCAGTACGCCTGCGCTTACAGTGAAATCCAGGAGCTACTGGATTTCCACAAAGCGCAGGTGGAGGCCCGGGCTCGCGCCTCTCAGCCCGGGCACGAGGGCGAGGCCCTTGTTGGCTTCGGCGTGTACCGGAGGGACACGCTCCAGGGCCTGTATGCAGCCAGCGACCCAGAGAGGAAGAGGTAAAAAGACGCTTGAAGGCTGTGTGATTTTGCTTGTGCTTGTTTATTAATTCACTGTTTGCCCTACAGCTATGTCAACTGGCTGAGACGGAGCACACCTATGCCTGGGACCACCATGGACGCCGCCAAAAACTACATCTTGGCGAGGGACAAGGAGCAGCCAGCCAGCAGCAGCTCCACCGCAGCTGCTGCCGCCACCACCAGCAGCACTGCCGCCGCCACCACCACCAGCACTGCCGCCGCCGCCACCACCAGCAGCGGCAGCACATCGCCGCTGCCGCAGCGAAAGCCAGCTGCTCCCTTGTTCAAGTCCCTCCTGGCGTGGCATTCCCTGACCCCAGGTGAGCTGCAGGCCAAGGTCCGCAAGATCGTCGGTCCTGCTTCGACATCGCGGCCTGCAGCTCCAGGTAGCCTCCACTTCTGTCCTTTAAATACCAGATGCTCAGCTTTTGTGATAAATAGATAACCAGTGCTGTCTTCTTTATCCGTAGTGTTGTCCTCCGTCCGAGACCAGCGCCCCTCGCGTCCACTGCCGTCCACCACCACGGAGATGACGGACGAGGAACTGGTCGAGGCAGCCAGTGACATAGAGATGGGTAAATGTCACACACAACAAACACTATTCCATGTGACATTGCAATTTTGATATGGAGTGAATTAACTTTCCTTTCATTTTATTTGTTTTTGAATAACTCGCAAAGCTGGTGCTTGAAGGACAAAGGTAGGTTTTAGAGGTAAAGTTGATATCGTGCCTTCCATGGTTGTAGATTGTAGATCGTACATCCTCACTGTCACTGCGCTGTTTGGTGTTTGATGCCACTAATATAGATTTTACATAACATGCCATGATTAATTCTTCCCATTCACGGATGATGGTGTACATCCTTTCTTTTATCGTGTGTTGCCCATTCTCTAAAATCACCAATATCACTTATAACGTAACTATATTAACTCTCATAGTAACTATGGTAACTCTATTCCGTGCATGCTTTCCTTAGCCATTGAGCTCATTTGCAGGTATCACTGGAGTTTTTGTATTTTTTTTTTTTAGTCGACATACAGGTCCTGAACCCGCTCCCAGAGGTGGCGCCTCCTCCACCTTCTCCGGCTGCCGCGCTCCCCGCCGCCACCACACCGCCACCCATGGCTGCTCCACCTCCACCCGCAGCTGTCTCTCCAGCCTCTGCGGGAAGCCAGGAGCCCCGACGAGTGTCCGTGGAGGTCATTTCGTCGGGGGAGGCCACCCTGGTACCACTGCCGCGGAAGAGGAAGAGGAAGGAGAAGCACGTGGAGCAGCCAACTGCCACTCCTGCTGTGGCTGAGGTGAGGAGGAAACACTCGCTCAACACGCACTCTCACATCAGCTGCCTTACACCCGTTAAGCCTTTCTTACGGTGTGCCTGTGTTTCTTCACAGCCCCAACTGCCTGAGAGCTGGCGCGCAGCTCTCACGAGGGAACAGCAGGAGTGGGTTGCCGGGGTGCTGTTTCGGGTGGACAGCAGGGGGAGGACCCGCCTCAGCGGGGACCTGGACCTGTGGTGGGACCCCCCCAAGCCCCGGCAGAATTACACTCAGCCGCCCGCCAGTCCTGACTCCTTCTTCGCGTGCCGGTTGTTCCTCTGGATGCCCCAGCGTCTGTGGGGTGTCCGGCTGGCATGCACCCAGCCTGGTTGTAACAAACCGTTAACCAAGGCTGGGCTCTACAAGACCATCCGGAGGGTCTTGGACATCGACTCCTGGTACTTCATGGCCACCGAGTACCTGGAGTGCACTCGATGTCAGAGGAAGGTAGCAGGATGGTCGCAGGAGGTGATGCGGCAGCTGGGGCCAGGACAGCTGGCCCAGTTCCCGGCTGTGCTCACGTACAAGTAAGTTGCAGTCTACTCATGTTAATGCGTGTGTGCGTGTGGCCGTTCTGTAACAAACCTCTTCTTCAGGCTCTCCTGCGACTGGCGGGTCATCGCGCTGCTGCGTGAGCGTTCTCGGGGGAACAGCGCCACGCAGCATTACAATAAGATCTGTGAGCTGCACACAGAGGCGTGGATGCGGAAGTCCATACGTTACCTCAGCGTCATGAGGCCCTTCAGGAAGGCGGGTGTCGTGGCCCAGGTTCAGCCGCCGCCGCTCATGCGCCCGGTCCCACTTCCGGAGTGGCTGCTGACCGTCTACGGCCACGACATCCTCGCCCGCCTCCAGGACGTGAAGAGCCGGGTCACCTCCATCTTCGGGAAGATCCTGAAGTTGGATTCCACCAAGAAGGTAGGCGAACGGCAACACATTTTGGGCATCGCTGACGCTTTGCTCCGGCGTTATCATTAAGGTGTTACTGTATCGTCAACAGGTGACCCGTAAACTTCGCCGGTGCCGCCCGTGGGACCGCAGCCTGGGCTACCAACGTCGGGAACGAGCACGGGCAGGTCCTCATGTCCGTGCTCACGGCGGCCGAGGGGGCCGGCCTTCAGCCCATGGCTGCCGGGTTGGTGAGGCGGTACCGGGACGCTGGGGTAGAGCCGCCGCTGCTGCTGTACGTCAACAGGGACTGCTGCTCGCGGCATGGAGTTGGCAAGACGGCTGCTATGTTCGCAGGGTGGGACAAGCTGGCGGTCCGGTTGGACATTTGGCACCTGATGCGGCGCATTGCAGCAGGTGTCACCACCGAGAGCCACCAGCTCTACAAGCCCTTCCTGCAGCAGCTGTCCTCTGCCATCTTCGAGTGGGATGCTGCAGACAGAGCCCACTTGCTCGCAGCCAAGAAGCAGCAGCTGGCGGCACAGGGGAAGACCGTCCCCCGCGACGACGCTGGGGTCTGGAGGCACGTCAGCCGCAGGGAGATGGCCCTCCACTGCCGTCGCCACACGCGTGGAGCTGTGGAGACGGAGCGGCTGATCGACGACCTCCTGTCCATTTACACCAGCGAGTGGGGACGGGACACCGTGGGAATTCCCCTGTTGGACGACCGCATCCACAACATCTGGGCGGAGCAGAAACGCCACCTCGCCTGCATCCAGGACCCGCCGGATGTGGAGCTGTACACCCAGACGGGCAGGCTGAACAAGGGGGGAATCAGCCTGCCGGTGTACAGATGCGCGCGGGGCTCCACATCCCTCGAGTCATTCCACCTGCATCTCAACCTCTTCATCCCAGGTAAATTCCTCACCGCGTCCTTACACGTTCAACAGCGTGTGCGTGACTGACGTAACCCTTTATCTCATCTTAATCTCCTCTTCATCTCCTCAGGAGAAAGCGCCAGTGCCTGGCATTTCCAGGCATTTCTCCTGGACGGGTTGATGCGGTGGAATGAAAACAGGGCGGCGTCCATGGCGGAGGAAGAGCGCCTGCTCCGCTCATTCGGTGGCCCCCTGCAGCGCTCCCTCGAAGAGCTCAGCCGAGAGGTGCTAGGCGAGAGCGTCTTCGGGGACTCGACCACGCCCAGGGAGTACACAGGTGAGAACCGTCACGTCGTAATTTCCCAAAGAATTGTAAATTCGGCCAGTAATATGAAAATGGTTGCGCGCTTTGTGTCTGTGTGTTGAATTTTAGGGGAACTCATAGGGATCGAGTACCTGTACTCCCAGACGGGCCGAGCGCTGCAGGCCGTCAGCTTGGACCCTGACACTCCGGACACGGACGAGGAGGGGAACTTGCTTCCTCCGCCCTCTGAGGACCCTCAGATGGATGGCGCCCCTGAAGAGGTGGAGGACGTGACGGTTCCTCCACCGGGCGACTTCCCCGAGCCTCACAGGGAGCCGTGGTCATGGGCTCCAGCTGACGAAGCACCTGCGCTCGAGCCGGCGGGTCCTCCCGCCCCTGAGCCCGCGCTCCAGTCCCCAGGCCGGTCCTCGACACCTCCTCCAGAGCCAGCTGAGGTGAGCGTCCGTTCTCTCTGTACACGCGTGCGGCGACGGCTCTTCATCTGACTAATTACTCTGTATTCCTCTATTGCTTCTGTGTGTGTGTGCAGGAGTATAGAGGACCAGATGACCAGCCTGGGTACCTGGCTGTGGCCGAGCTGGCCAGAGCCTTGGTGGGGCTGCGGGAGCAAGCGGCCCTGTCCGAGAGGGGGGTAGATCGTTTGATCGCCCTCTACGAGGCCTTGTCGCCCCAAGACAAGGCCCGGGTGAATTACCCCCCTCGCTACAAGGACAGGCCAACTCGGGGCGGTTCAAGTCAGGCAAGCCTTCCAACCCCTGCGTCCCTGGGCTGGAAAGCCTAAAACGGTAAGCCCACAGTAAATACCTGTTCAGTTAAAGCAGTTACATGTTGAAATGTGACAGCCTGTCCTCATGATGGCTCCTGCCTTTTCTATTCCGTCTTTATAGCTGCCTGACTGGGGAAAGCTCGGGACCTGCCACCTGGCCCAGTGCAAGCCGGATTATGGAAGCGGTGTGCACAGAATTGTGTCTCATCTACTCCGCCTCCACTTACTCTCACCGGGGGGTACGGAGGGGTAGGTGGGATTACATTCTGATGTACTACCACCATATCCGCAACCTTGTGTTGGGCAGCCAGAGGTTGATGGCTCGGGCGCCGATCCAGCTGGCTGAGATTAACCGGAGGACGCTCTCGCAGTGGTAGGTTTGATATTTGTAGCCACACCTACTGTCAATTTCAACTACTTCACCACAGTTGGATACTTAACCACATTCTGTCCTTGAATTATGTTTTGTGTTTTTAGGTACACAGCAACCCTGCGAGAGAAGGAGAGGCTTCTGTTGGCACCGGGACCAGGCGCTGCAGCAGGTGGACTCCAACCAGCAGCACCGACAGCGCCAGCGCTGCCACCTCCACCAGCGGCGGCACCAGTGCTGGTACACTGGGTGGGTCCACCAGCGGCAGCACACGCTGGCCAGGCAGCACCAGGAAGGCCGACCGCTTTTGCCACTGGCACCAGCACCATTACCACCTGTGTTTGTTGTCCTGGCCGCACCACCAGCAGCTGCCGCAGCTGCAGCAGGACCTTCTTCCCGGGCTACAGTGCCTCTCCTGGACCTCTCACTGCCCCAGCAGAGGGTGAGGGAGCTCCCCGTCCCCCCCCCTCTCCTTGCTCTCTCTTGGACATTGCCAGTCGGACAGCGTCCTCTCCTCGCAGCCCCGCCCGCGCACGGTCCGCCTGCTGCCGCACTGCCCCGATCTACAACAAGGGACCCCCCCCGGTGCACGCAGTGTGGCCAGCCTCGGCGGAAAGAGACCGGACATTTCCGCCAGGGACGGACATACGTGTGCTCGAGGAAGAACGACTGGCAGAGAGAGAAGCAGGAGATGAACCCGGATTGAGCTCCCGGAACTGCTCACACCCTCCTGCTGGGGCAGATGGTGTAAATAGTTTGTGTTTGTGTAGTTCGTGTGTGTAAATACTTCCCCTCCACCAGGACCGGGACCTTGACGTGGTGTGGAGGCTTAACACCAACACCGGTCCACACGCTCACCTGGATTTATGTAGTGAGTCACAATTTTCACTGACATTGACAAGAAATGTCATGCCCCCTTCCTTCTATGTAATGAATTTTACTGTCTGCTGTGATTAACAATAAGATAAGAAATACAATGTGTTTTACACACGTTCTACTGTCTGCTGTGACACACACAAACTACTGTCTGCTGTGATTGACATTGATAAGTTCAGAAATGCGATGCTCCCCTTCTGTGCAATGATGCTTGAGCTATAACAATGCCAGTGCCATGCTTTTCCTCCACGAGGACCGGGACCTTGACGCGGTGTGGAGGCTGACCACCAACACCTGGTCCACACTCACCTCATGCTGAGATCATGCCATCCTTGTTTTGCAAACCTTACTTTTCCTATTTCTGTTACTTAATGTAATTTATTGGTATGTTTGATTTCTTTACTGCAATTATATATTGATGTAATAATGTATGTGACAAATAAATTGACTTTGAACTATGAACAAATCAGGTTTTTCTCTTTAATGGGTACTTTTAATGTACATTTTTCTCTATTATTAATATAATAAATAAATACATGCATATAATGAAACAATGCTACACGTGATACAGTTAAACAATAATAAAACATACATATAATACACAACACAGTTCCTTTAAATACTTCAAATGTGAACTAAGAACTGCAGTATTAATTATACTGTACACAAACACCAAACCAATTACAGGTTATACTATCTATTACTTCTAATAATATCATCGGCGTTGTTAAAAACGTCTTTGACAGACTCCCCCTCGAACTCATTCGAGTGCGCTGGGATTCGCCCCCCTCATCGGCGCGTTGTTACTGCCCGAAACGTCATCGAGTAATCCGCCCCGCTCATTGGCCGGGTATCCGCCCCGCTCATTGGCCGGGTATCCGCCCCGCTCATTGGCCGGGTATCCGCCCCGCTCATTGGCCGGGTATCCGCCCCGCTCATTGGCCGGGTATCCGCCCCGCTCATTGGCGGGTTCGTTGATGCCGTCACCGGGCTCCGACGCCCCCAGAGAAGAAGTCTCTGTATATCGACCAATGGTAGCACGGCATTCTCGATGTCGTCATCAACAGCTTCCAATGAGACCGCGAGTTGTTGTTGACGACATCGAGAAGACTACCAATGAAATGAGCGAATTTGTCGATGACGTATCTCTCAGCCTTAGTTGCCGCTGTCTCATTTGCATTGGGAGATTTACCGGAGGCCAGGTACATTTTAACGATCGGGTAACACGTAGAACAGTCACAAATATTTATTTCGCATCATAACTTATAATATCGCACGGCGATAAACTGTTTTAGCGCGTTCAGAACAGCGCTAGCGAGTGGTGCTACTTTATGCTAACCACGCGGCTAGCGGCGCTGACCGGGCCGCGACCGGGCCGCTCGCACGCAGACACACGCAGACACACGCAGACACACGCAGACACACACAGACACACGCAGACACACGCAGACACACGCAGACACACGCAGACACACGCAGACAGAAAGTTTTTAATGAGCCTCACTGTGTTCTGCCTGCAGGTCCAGTAATATAACTAACACACCAAATTCAATATTTTCGCATTCAGTAGCTTTAGGGCAGTGTGTTTAGCAACTGTTTCAAATTTCACTGAAATCGGCGTTTCTGCAAATGTGAACAATATGTACATATCCAAAATCTCCAGAACTGTGTGTGATTTTTGTCATTTTACTGCTCAGTCCTTTGCTGTTGAGGCGTTTGATAAATGTAAACATTAGCCTAAGTGACCTTAAGTTAGAAAGAGATGCTTCCATTTCAGTGTCAGATGTTTCGTGTGTCAGCTGCTGCCACCTGCTGGTCAAGTACGAGTTTGTGGATCTGTCTGAGTTTGTGTGTTTCTCAAAATAACTGTTCCAAAATTACATCATACCAGAAACCGGTGGATTTGTTTAACTGCTGACCCACAAATGCAAATCACATTTTACAAACTAAATTTTCAGTTTTACAAATGTTATTATTTTTTGCAAATGAAAAAAAATATATTTACAAATACAAACTCTATTTGTAAAGACCAAAATACAAATTACAAATATTAAATTTGCATTTGTGGATCAAAACACATGAACAAATCACTATTTGTAGACCATCATCTGTGTATGTGTGAATATTAATAAGACAAAAGTAACTCCATAAAAGTAACTCCATAAAAGTAACTCCATAAAAGTAACTCCATAAAAGTAACTCCATACTGCTGTTAATACTTATAATGCACTTAAAATTACATACGCAATAAAAACAGGAATTATATATTAATAAACATTAATATATACAATAATATAAACGATAAAGGTCATTGTGCCATTACCAACACCTACTGAATTAATTTGGTATTAATTATATTTGGTATTTTAATTATAAGAATAATTAAATTTGAATTAGTGCCACATAAATGAACCAAAATATAGTCAGAATATTGACAAATTAAAATGTATTGGGGTTGTCTTACGCTTGATTATATGATTTAATACTTTCTCTTTGTTCTTTTTTTCAGATTGAAGAAACTGTCGTTCCATTAATGACCGTGACCTCCAAAGTTCATCCCAGAAGTTGCTGACAGAATGAAGATCCATCATCCCTTTTCTGCAGAAAATAGGCAGCACCTCAAGTAGCATCTTCAAGCAAAGAAACCGCACTTCAATACTTCAGGGCTTTGTCAAAAACTCATCTCAAGATGATGCAGGAGCCTCTTCTTCTTCTTCTTCTTCTTCTTCCTCTTCTTCTTCCGCACATGAAACAAAAAGAAAGTGGACAAAGTGGGTGATGGGTGGTGACTTATTACAGTTAAGTTTATGTTCATAGCTGTTTTTCTAGCTTTTCCTAACAGTTTTCCTATTTGTTTGTAAAATCCCTAATCCATAGCAAAGGATTCAGTTTGTCAAATAGACACGTTTTTTTGTTTGTTTGTTTTTTATCGAAAACGTTGAAAAACTGAAACTACTCTGAAATGCACACACCTACTTGTTTACAGTTTGTTTGCTTTGTCTCCTGTACTGCACTTACACTTACACTAACAGAAACTGTAAACAAGCAGGTGTGTTTCTTTCAGAGTCGTTTCTGTGTAGTTGGCGCCCCCTTCAGGCAGATATGAGGCAGTGTCCACCAGCATCTGACCAGAACTGAGCAGCTTGGATGAGCTGCCAAGTCTGTTTGACAAATTTGAATTTCTCCTTTTCCAGTTTTTCTATTTGTTCTAAACGGTGGATGTTTTGCTTTCTGGAAAACAATTTTGAAAAGTGTTTCTAACAAATCTTACTATAACTAACAGCAAAAGACCCACTGTCGACTGTGCAGGTCAATACAAGTTCAATTCAAATGCTTTCATCACGCAGCCGGGTGTTTTGAGAAACAAATTTTTCCCTCCCTCTGTTTTGCAAACGAACAGACGGCATCGTTTTCAAAAAAGTTTTCGTTTACATCAAAACGCATAAATCCTCCATCGAGCGTCGTCAGAACGACACGAGACTCTGGATCAGACTCAAACCTGTAGCATTTATTTCATTACAGTTGTAAGTTTTACTCACAAATACCTTAAAAACGTGCATTAGTGAGCGGCTCGCCTCTCCACAGATCTGTTAAAGAGGCAAAATCACTGACCTCCGAGCTCTTGTTCATCTCTGCTCATGGATATGAAACATCAGCTGTTTGCAAATGAAACACATGAAAAGTGTTTCAGCAGAAGAAACAGATGAGCTGAAGCGGGGGGGGGGGGGGGGACGGACGCTCAGAACAACATAACCAACCAAACTGGATTCACACTTCTGTCCAGATTCTTTACACCAACTCAGAACCAGAGCCGCCCGTCCGGACCTGTGGTCCACAGAACCAGCGCACAGAAGACAGACCCAGTCCTTTGAGGATGGAGCCTCCGGACCTTCTGACCAACACTGGACCCTCAGCTCCGTCTTGAGTCTTGAGGAGCTGAGCTCCGGTGATGCTCCCGTCGTGTGTTTAGTTCTGTTCCCTGAACTCAGATCTTCTGCTGACGTGTGGTGAGTTTGTACAAAGTTCTACATGCTTCTGGCCCGTGGTTTTCACAGGGAACATAGATTCACAATTGGAGGAACATTGGGAACATGGAGACACCATGAGACGGCGTCTGGACTATAAATATATATTAAAATAATATTTATTAAAAGAATAAATTCAGAAGCTTATTATACTCACATTTAGTTCAATTCAGTCTTAAAATATATTCTAAGGCTCACGGCTCTGAGGCAAAAAGGTTCCCGACCCCTGACTTAAATAAAGATTATTTAACTGTTACCGAGCAACATTAAAAAGGTCATTTCATTTAAACAATATTTATGCTTTGACAAATAAAAATAAAAGACGACGAAGTGTCAGGAAAAGTTCTTCTTGGAGCAGAAACTGTTTTTTCTGTGTTTATCAGTAAAATCCTCATTTGCTCACATAAGTTTATTTTAAATCTTTTAGTACAAATTCACTTCAGCCAAAAAAATGTGTAATGAAGAAAAAAAACATAAGTCGCATTTTTTGGGGTGAAATTTATTTTATAAAATCAGAGACGAGGAGCAGACGTTTCCTGTTGAAACAGAACGTCACATATTTCACATTTCTTCAAATAAATATAAACAACAGAACAAGTTTAAACAAACTGTTTCCCTCCAAATCACTAAATGACTTGAGTTCTTGATCCTCGTGTCGCTTCTGAACAACTCGACCTCCAGAGGGAAACAGCGACGCAAACTCTTCTGTCGTCAGACTCAGACTCACTTCAGTTACAGTTATTTGGGTCTTTCTGACCCGTGTGTCGTTCGTTCATACGTTTTTCAAAATAAAACCAAAAATTAAGAAAATTAAAAAACGACTATTTTCTTGATAAAGATGAGTTTTTTCAGTTTTCGATTTTTTGTTTAAATGAAAAATTTAAAAAACTTTAACTGCAGTGTCGGACTGAACCAGGACTAAACCAGATCCGGGACCAGACTGGAACCAAATTGTGATTGAGACCGAACCAGACAGGACCAGACTGGGACTGAAAACAGTTAGTCCTGGTTTAATCCTGGTTTGGTCCTGGTTTGGTCCTGGTTCAGTCCAGTTTTAGTCCTGGTTCAGTTCTGGTCTAGTCCAGTTTTAGTCCTGGTTCAGTTCTGGTCTAGTCCTGGTCTAGTCCTGGTTTAGTCCTGGTTTAGTCCTGGTTCAGTCCTGGTTCAGTCCTGGTTCAGTCCAGTTTTAGTCCAGTTTTAGTCCTGGTTCAGTCCGTTATCCTTTTTTTTTTTCATTTTTCATTTAAACACAAAATTAAAAACTGAAAAAAAACAAATCATTATCTGTTTTTCTTTTTGGTTTTGGAGACAAATAATGAAGAAAATATTTGTTTTTTTCATTTTCTTATTGTTGGTTTTATTTTGATTATTCATTCCGCACCGTTCCCGCTCTGTTGCTCACTCCTCGTCTGTCCACTCTGGTCCCCGCTACATATTTTCCGTCCGCTCACCACCGCAGTACCTTGGGTGCACACAAGTCCGCTGCCAAATCCTTCACCTCCATAACCTTCGTCTTCCATCTACCTTTCCGCATTATCCATCCCCTGTCCTCACGCCCACTGGCAAACAGAGCACTGATCTGACACTTCCTTTTTCCGGTTTCGTGCGCGGGATCTTCGCATGTGACGTCACTGCGACGTCATCACTAAAAAAAAACCACAGTTAATAATAAAATATTTATTGCTCATTTCCTATTGCTGCTACAGGCGCAGAGATATGGCCATTTAATTTACTGTATTTTTCTGGGTTTTACATAATTTTGTTGTTATCAGTAATTTGGGTTTTAAGGGTGAAAACCCACATTTCTTTGTTAATTGGCTTGGGGGAGGAGTCATGGGGGATAAAAGAGCCACTCTCCCTCCCTCAGTCAGTTCCAACCTGGACCTGGAAGAGGAAGGTAATATACCAGAGATTTAAGCAGACTTTTGCTGGTGTGTTTGTATATATTGTAAATACTTTTTCTTTATTGTTTCACTTTTTGTTGTATAGCACTCTTCAAACTTTCTTTATTTGGGAACACTAATTAAACACTCAAAAAACATCCTTCTGACTACGCCATCGTTATTACAGTAAGATAGAACCCCGTCACACAAATGAACGAACGACTCAGATTTGAAAAACACAGTCACTAACTCAGTTCCATAAAAGGTTAAGTTCCTCTGAGTTCCCGGGTGATTTCCGCTCCGACGTTCTTCAGGAGAACTCGAGTCGGGTGAATCCGGCCACGGGGAGCGGAGCTGGACTCCGGGTCTTGGTCAGGTTCAGTCCGGTCTGGGGTCTCGGTCTCTGGACTCGGCTCAGGGGCAGGACTCCGAAGAACTGGAACCTGTGTCCCATCTGTCCCGGATCCATGAGGACGTGAAAAGACCGAAGCAGCTCCGAGCGAGAGGCCGAGTCCGGACAAGACCTCAACAGGACCTGACACAGAACTAACCAGACCTGGATCAGACCTGGATCAGACCTGGATCAGACCTGGATCAGTCCTGGATCAGACCTGGATCAGACCTGGATCAGACCTGGATCAGACCTGGTCTAGTCCTGGATCAGACCTGGATCAGTCCTGGATCAGACCTGGATCAGACCTGGATCAGACCTGGATCAGACCTGGATCAGTCCTGGATCAGACCTGGATCAGTCCTGGATCAGACCTGGTCTAGTCCTGGATCAGACCTGGATCAGACCTGGATCAGACCTGGATCAGACCTGGATCAGTCCTGGATCAGTCCTGGATCAGACCTGGTCTAGTCCTGGTCTAGTCCTGGATCAGTCCTGGATCAGTCCTGGATCAGTCCTGGATCAGTCCTGGATCAGACCTGTCCTGGATCAGACCTGGATCAGACCTGGTCTAGTCCTGGATCAGACCTGGATCAGTCCTGGATCAGACCTGGTCTAGTCCTGGATCAGACCTGGATCAGACCTGGATCAGTCCTGGATCAGACCTGGATCAGTCCTGGATCAGACCTGGTCTAGTCCTGGATCAGACCTGGATCAGTCCTGGATCAGACCTGGTCTAGTCCTGGATCAGACCTGGATCAGTCCTGGATCAGACCTGGATCAGACCTGGATCAGACCTGGATCAGACCTGGATCAGACCTGGTCTAGTCCTGGATCAGACCTGGATCAGACCTGGATCAGACCTGGATCAGACCTGGATCAGACCTGGTCTAGTCCTGGATCAGTCCTGGATCAGACCTGGATCAGACCTGGATCAGACCTGGATCAGACCTGGTCTAGTCCTGGATCAGACCTGGATCAGACCTGGATCAGACCTGGATCAGACCTGGTCTAGTCCTGGTTTACTTCTTGGTCTAGTCCTGGTCTAGTCCTGGTTCAGTCCCGGTTCAGTTCTCGGTCTAGTCCCGGTCTAGTTCTCGGTCTAGTCCTGGTTTAGTTCTCGGTCTAGTCTCGGTCTAGTCCTGGTCTAGTCTGGTTTAGTTCTCGGTCTAGTCCTCGGTCTAGTCCTGGTTTAGTTCTCGGTCTAGTCTCGGTCTAGTCCTGGTCTAGTCCTGGTTTAGTTCTCGGTCTAGTCCGGTCTAGTCCTGGTCTAGTTCCTGGTTTAGTCCCGGTCTAGTTCTCGGTCTAGTCCTGGTTTAGTTCTCGGTCTAGTCCTGGTTTAGTTCTCGGTCTAGTCTGGTTCTAGTTCTCGGTCTAGTCCTGGTTTAGTTCTCGGTCTAGTCTGGTCTAGTCCTGGTCTAGTCCTGGTTTAGTTCTTGGTCTAGTCCCGGTCTAGTCCTGGTTTAGTTCTTGGTCTAGTCCCGGTCTAGTCCTGGTCTAGTTCCTGGTTTAGTCCCGGTCTAGTTCTCGGTCTAGTCCCGGTCTAGTCCCGGTCTATCTAGTCCTGGTCTAGTCCTGGTCTAGTCCTGGTTCTAGTTCTCGGTCTAGTCTCGGTCTAGTCCTGGTCTAGTCCTGGTCTAGTCCTGGTTTAGTTCTCGGTCTAGTCTCGGTCTAGTCCTGGTCTAGTCCTGGTTTAGTTCTCGGTCTAGTCTCGGTCTAGTCTCGGTCTAGTCTCGGTCTAGTCCTGGTCTAGTCCTGTCTAGTCCTGGTCTAGTTCTCGGTCTAGTCTCGGTCTAGTCTCGGTCTAGTCTAGTCTCGGTCTAGTCCTCGGTCTAGTCCGGTCTAGTCTCCGGTCTAGTCCTGGTCTAGTCCTGGTCTAGTCTAGTCTCGGTCTAGTCTGGTCTAGTCCTGGTTAGTCCTAGTCGGTCTAGTCTCGGTCTAGTCGGTCTAGTCCGGTCTAGTCCTGGTCTAGTCTGGTCTAGTCCCGGTCTAGTCTCGGTCTAGTCCTGGTCTAGTCCTGGTCTAGTCCTGGTTTAGTTCTCGGTCTAGTCTCGGTCTAGTCCTGGTCTAGTCCTGGTTTAGTTCTCACCTGGAGTCTTGCGTCGATGCCCATGTTTCGGAGGAAGGTGTTTTGATTGACAGGTCCTACACAGGCCACGCCCCCCGCACACCTGCGCAGGTAACTGAAGTCCACGTCTGCGGTGAGGTCGGCCGAGCCTGGAGACGCCAGGACGTCGTGGAGCCGGTGACCTTTGAACCCCTGGACACGCCACAAGAGAAGAACATCTGAGGAGGAACGACGAGAACACGAAGAAACATCTGAGGAGGAACGACGAGAACACGAAGAAACATCTGAGGAGGAACGACGAGAACACGAAGAAACATCTGAGGAGGAACGACGAGACGAAGAAACATCTGAGGAGGAACGACGAACACGGAGAAACATCTGAGGAGGAACGACGAGAACACGGAAGAAACTCTGAGGAGGAACGACGAGAACACGAAGAAACATCTGAGGAGGAACGACGAGAACACGAAGAAACATCTGAGGAGGAACGACGAGAACGCGAGAAACATCTGAGGAGGAACGACGAGAACACGGAGAAACATCTGAGGAGGAAGACGAGAACACGAAGAAACATCTGAGACGACGGAACGACTGAGAGGAACGACGAGAAGAGAACATCTGAGGAGGACGACGAGAACACGAAGAAACATCTGAGGACGACGAGAACACGAGAAACATCTGAGGAGAACGACGAGAACAGAGAACATCTGAGGAGGAAACGACGAGAACACGAAGAAACATCTGAGGAGGAACGACGAGAACACGAAGAAACATCTGAGGAGAAACGCGGAGAAAATCTGAGGAGGAACGATGAGAACACGGAGAAACATCTGAGGAGGAACGAACGAGAACACGGAAGAAACATCTGAGGAGGAACGACGAGAACACGAAGAAACATCTGAGGAGGAACGACGAGAACACGAAGAAACATCTGAGGAGGAACGACGAGAACACGAGAAACATCTGAGGAGGAACGACGAGAACACGAAGAAACATCTGAGGAGGAACGACGAGAACACGGAAGAAACATCTGAGGAGGAACGACGAGAACACGAAGAAACATCTGAGAGAGGAACGACGAGAGAACACGAGAAACATCTGAGGAGGAACGACGAGAACACGAAGAAACATCTGAGGAGGAACGACGAGAACACGGAGAAACATCTGAGGAGGAACGACGAGAACACGAAGAAACATCTGAGGAGGAACGACGAGAACACGGAGAAACATCTGAGGAGGAACGACGAGAACACGAAGAAACATCTGAGGAGGAACGACGAGAACACGGAGAAACATCTGAGGAGGAACGACGAGAACACGGAGAAACATCTGAGGAGGAACGACGAGAACACGAAGAAACATCTGAGGAGGAACGACGAGAACACGAAGAAACATCTGAGGAGGAACGACGAGAACACGAAGAAACATCTGAGGAGGAACGACGAGAACACGAAGAAACATCTGAGGAGGAACGACGAGAACACGGAGAAACATCTGAGGAGGAACGACGAGAACGCGAAGAAACATCTGAGGAGGAACGACGAGAACGCGGAGAAACATCTGAGGAGGAACGACGAGAACGCGAAGAAACATCTGAGGAGGAACGACGAGAACACGAAGAAACATCTGAGGAGGAACGACGAGAACACGGAGAAACATCTGAGGAGGAACGACGAGAACACGGAGAAACGACTAGAACGTGGAGAAAGATCTGAGAAGAACAGTTTGGAGAAGAGTTTGGAGAAAGATCTGATGTGGTGTAGATGTGCGAGGAGGTTTTACTCTGAAGGTGTCGCTCTTGGTCCCGTCGTGGCCGTAGTCCGAGATCAGAGCGGCGCCTCCCGTCTCACAGATCCTCTTCGACAGGTGCTGCATGACCACGCCCCCTTCAGGACACACCTCCACCTGCTCACGACGCTCCCCGGGCTGAAGAAAGACCAAGACCAGGACTGAACCAGGTCTAGATCAGGACTGGACCAGGTCTAGATCAGGTCTGGACCAGGTCTAGATCAGGTCTGGACCAGGTCTAGATCAGGACTGGACCAGGTCTAGATCAGGACTGGACCAGGTCTAGATCAGGTCTGGACCAGGTCTAGATCAGGTCTGGACTTACCTGGATGAGTGTGGTTGAGGCCAGCGTGGCGTTTGGCGACAGGACAAACCTCAGTTGATGGTTTTTCTCGGGGTCGATGTCCA